AATCATGTGGGATTAATATAGTCGGACACTTAAGTGCCTCAGGGTAATTAGATAGATATATTTTTTCGGTATAGAATAAACTAAAATGTGCATGGACATTTAAAACAACATGTATGGTACAAACATTTAAAACATATATGAGAATAAATAACCTATGACATGCAAATCAGCACCAAGAATAGCACAACAACAAAAAGACTCTTATATCCCATGTGGTCCCTTGTGTTGGTGGTATGATATACTCGTAGAGAGCTTTTATCCAGTGCAAATTAAATATTATCACATATTTCATTTACTTTATTACATTTAGACTAGAGTTACAGCATTGTATCACATTATTGAAGTTAAAACAGAATAAGCAAACTATGAAGCAAATGATAAAACTAATAAGCATTATATATTTTACCATAAGACAAACTGCAATAAAATAGTACTATTATTCAATAATAAATTCAGTTATATCACAGTCACAAACTTAAACCTATTGATAAAACATTTGGCAAAATATCAAGACGCAACTATTAAAAAGTAGAAATGAGAATTTAGAAATGAGTAAAACTTACATTAAAAGAAATGCATCATTACATATTAAATGTGTTAAATGATTTGCGTAATGAGTCAAAACGATTCCTATACCGAAACAACCTGATATCAATTTAAAAAAAAAGTACTGAAAAGTTACAAACTGTCCATCAGGTACTTCTTAACAGATACTTTGAAAGAAGGTTACCTGTCAATGCTAGACAATTCAGCTGGTAATCTGTTCAATGAACAATCCAAAAAACAGAAGGACTTAGAACCAAGACCTTTGACCTTTGGGATTGCAAAGTGTCCTGTGGGGTGACCAGGTCTTCCATGTAATCTGGAGCCAGATCATTTTTTACTTTAAAAACATGACAAAAGATGTTCTGATCTACACGTTTACTGCAGCAAGTGATGCAATAAAATTTCAAATTCTGATTACACCCTGTCATCTCGAAGATATTGCTGAAAGATCTTGTTCTTTCCAATGAAGTGTACAAATGCTGTCACTGCGACTTGAACATTTCCGGACATAACAAGAAAATAATTGTGCAGTCACGTTGTATATGTCACGTATTAATTCCTCTCGATGCAGACGACATTTCTAAACAGTCATACTTCTATATTTCTTGCTGTGTTTTTTGTGTAAATAGGGATGCATTTCTGATACAGTAATTTCTTTTGAATTTGAAGCACATCACTCGTTTAGATAGAAAAGGAAAGCTGTAACATGTGGTGTTGTGCATGTGTGTAAAACAACTTTGCATATTTCATGTGCAGTTGTTTTGATATGTATACAATATGTTCATTATTGATGATAAAGACGATACATACTGATTGATCAGGTTAGATACTAGATTACCTTGATGTATTTCATAATCTTAAATTTGATATATTCTCTTCCATTTCACACATAGCAATTAGCGAACATAATACATCATCTGAACCATTAGCAAAAACAAGAAATTGTGATGCCGAAAGTTATTAACACGGTATATACGTAAAATGATCTTTCAAACAATAAACAATTGATCATTTGGACTTTATACTCATCAAAGGCGACATTTATTGGGATTTATTTTATGTTTATATCATGACGCTACATGAGAGGGCTTTTAGAACACTTCATTATGTTTAATCATGTCAACCTTTCTGAAAGCATGAGTAGTTTATGTATCATTATGCTGACCTAATTACTTACGCCTAAAAGCGATGACGATTCTATTAGTGTTATATCGTAAAACTTAAGACTGATACAAGAAACGCATGTTCAGACATCTTGGATTTTGGTCGTATTTGGTAATTTCTTGAGAACACCACATAAGATTTTGAACTGGTTATCAACATCATCTAATTTATTTGTCGAAAGTAAATTATCTTTTACGCATTAAAGGCCTATATTTACAGAAATAATATATCATATCATTACATAAATATTTGAATGAGAGTCAGATATCTATATAGAATTCATAATTAACTTAGTCTTGTCATTTTACTTTTTAAAGTGATTTTATTTGTGTCGTTATAATTTTCAGGAGGTTTGGCACGATTACAAGTCAAGTGCTATTATAGCTCTAGAAGTTGTCCTGTCTGGATATCCTTTCGTTTTGTGTCCTTTTTATTCGGATGTTTAGACCAACATTCTAAGCGATGAAGGTGTGGCAGAGGACGTACGAAAAATACTTTTAATCTATTCTCGTGACAATGAATGATGGAACCTTATATTTCTGGTGTTTTATTCCGAAGACAAGATGCCTATTCACAAAGTTCATTTGCCAGTTGCAGAATCTGACAATCCTGGTTCTAAGCTGCTACTAAAACATATAAGAACATCTTAAAATTTATAAGTCTCCCTGTCTATATTCTGCAAAAAAGTAAAACAAAAGAAGGAAATATATCGCAAAAAAGAAAACGTCATAGATTTTCTCTGGAAGAACACTCCTTGCTTAGTATAATTACTTTAACGACAACTGAGATATAATGAAAATGACAACACTGTTTGCAATAGAATTATATTTTCAGAAGTTTTGATCATCGGGTCACTAACGAGATCATTTATTTCTATTAACACAACATTCTCGTAAAGAAGAAAAGTCATAAAGTTCTAGACAAGTTATTGCTAAAGCAATTATTTGCGAGAAGAATTTAGTTTTAAGTTGTTTGTGCATTTTTATGATAATAGTTTTATCTTACACATGATAAAATATAAGAGGTGCGTAGATCATTGTTTCATTTTTCTCTCTTTCTTGATTTATGGTTTATTCTTTTTTGAAATAGTAAGCGCTTCTGCTGTATTTCCTGCTAAATAACGAATATTTATATGACGAAAGTATATGACAAAACAAAAGGATAACATTTAACTTATCGACTGTAATATGAAAATCTTTTTATTGATAGTATTTAAAAACAAATACACAAATAAATATGGGCATTTCCATATTGTTGAACATAAAATACTTTGTCGTAATACTTTTCAAATTGAAATATATTCATATTTATAAATTCAAAGACGTACAACTTGTTTCTTTTGAAATTCTGAGAATAAAATCTTTTATTAACAGTTACTGTTCATTGACTATATACATACATTTCTGGGATGTCATTTCTATTCTGTATGGGATTGATCAATTTATGTCAAATAAAAATTTAGACTCGTCAATAAAATATATTAATATATTTCCAATCCTTTTATATACATTTATATGTAATTCTAAATATTACGTAAAGTGTATAAAGAAACTTATATGAAGCGACGAAAGATACGAATGGATGTCAAATAAAAAGGTTTCGTTATTTTGTAACAGACCTATTGATTTATGTTATTGTGGAAATCTTACAGGCGTTAACATTGTGTGATACATATTTAAACTGACTGAAATGTAGACGATAAACTTTAGAGTCTTAGGTTCTCATCCCTTAAAACTGTGTGTTGTGATGTGATTTTAGGTAAAACTTTATCCAGTGACATGTAATTTAAGTTTCTTCACACTAGAAGTTTCATGACTGACTGCCTAATATATAAATTAACATTTCGTCACCTAAGTTCAGTGACGGGTTAAACCCTATTAGATTATTTAGGAAGTTCACCCGTTACTGCACTAAGGTGATCATTCTGAAAGAAGTGATTTCAACAAATGCTGGGGCAAGTTTTCCTTCATCTATACCACCCTTGAGTTTGAGGACCCAAAGATCAATGCTGTATAAACATATAATGAATTTCATATTTTTGATACTTAAATGTTAGTTGTTTGCAACATACCACAACCGTCAATGAATAACTCAATTATTTTGCTGTGTTTGGGTGTTCTTTAATCAAGGTTTCCATTTAATACATTTTAACACCATGCTCATGCCTGCTGTTACCCTTTTACATGTTTACTTTTGTGTCTTTTCTACTCAAATAATTATTATACACTTAAGAAAATCGCATGTTTCTGTTAAGATTGTTAGGTTTACGATTTTATAATTGTGTAAATCCAATTTGCCTCCGTTTCCTTTTGTAAAATGTATCTCTCGTAAATTTTCGTTTATTTCTGGGAGTCGCTGTTTTCTTTATATAGTTATACAACATCTGATATATTGTATATAGCCATTTAAAATTGATTGTCTCTGTATATTTCAAATATATTTCATTACTATATAGTACCAAATGTATTGCTTCTATGAAGTTATTGACACTAAATTGATTACATCCGTTTAGATAAATGATTGACAAAATGGGCAGGATGTCAGATAAAATGAGCATTAGTCGAGATTCGAGTAACTGTCAACTTTTGAACTCAATATTGCAATTATATTCTCAGGAAATATCTTTGAACCGTCAACTAGTGTACATTTCTTTAGAAATTGTGACTGTATTATTTCCGGATTACATTGGCAATATATTTCTGATTTGTGTGTTCAGTTATTACGCAGATATCAATTTTTCGCACGACTTTAAGATTGACCTTTGCCAATCACAAAGCTGGCATTCACAACCTTCAAAATAATTATATTCATTGATAGACAATCTATGTTTATGTTTTACTTCTATAGATGAAGTGCGATGTAATAACTTTAATATTTGGCAATGTTAAAATTATGACAAATCAATCAATGGTACATATATACATATTTTGATTGCTCAAGACAGATAATCGGTATTCCAGTCTTGTATTAAGTCTGTAAAGTTCTTACTTATCGATTTGCTAGTTTCAGTAAATAAAGTAGAATTGACATTTATGTCAGTAACTATTTTACTCCAGATGTCAATGCTCTTACGTTAACGTGAAACGAATCACAAGTCAATGATTAGTATTTCCAATGTACCATTGATTCAATGTTTTGCTAATCTCTTATGCAAAATACAAAAAGAAATATATGTGTTTTAGAAAATAAAACAAAATGAAAAATAAATAGATAAACGAAATTTTAACATTTTTTCTCATTTTGCATATTTTATTAGTATTTCACTACTTACTTACTTACTGGCGTTCGCTCTACACGATCACGCCAGTATCCGCGATGAAGGTTGTGGTCCGCCGCAGGTCCTCAACGTCTCCGTACAGCTTCTGCTGGAGTGTTGCACCTCGGGGCCACGTTGCTCCTCGCTCCTGGTCGTGTCTTTTGCATCTTTGGAGGATATGCTCTGTAGTCTGGTCCTCTTCTCCACAGGGACATATGGGGGACGGCACCAGTTTGTTCTTCCTGCACATGTGTGCATTCAGTCTGTTGTGTCCCGAGCGAAGCCTGACCATCACCACTTGTTCTGGTCGGTTTAGCATGTGGTAGGCATCCGCTTCCTGTCTTGTCTTGGTGAGAGCCTTGATGATGGTGGCTTTCTCCTTGTATGTCACCTGGTTATCTGGTTGCTCCAACTGGGCTCTTAACCTAGCCAGCTTGTCAGCCTCCTCATTTCCGGGCACTCCACAGTGAGATGGTATCCACTGAAGTGCAACATTACACGACGACCCAAGCTTGTTCACGGCTTGCGCTAGTTCAGGGACATTGTTGTTTTGTAGGGCCTCCAGAACTGATCTTGCATCTGTGAGGAAGACTACAGAGGTGATCTCTTCTGGCGAGTTTTCTATCAAAAAGACTGCCTTCATGAGTGCCTCAGTCTCTGCTCTGTAATTGCTGCAGTGCTTCCCAGTGGCGATGTAATGGGCTGTTTTCTGGCCTGACGGGTACGTTATGTGAATACCACCGCCTCCATCCTTAACGGCTCTAGTGGCTGACCCATCTGTGTATACATGGGTCCATGTGTCCGAAGGATAGTCTGCGTAGATAGCCGCAAGTGTCAGACTTCTACGGATGGTCTCATTTTCCTGTTTGCCCATGTCTAGTCCAGGAATAGCAAGTGCCACTTTGACTGCAGACAGGTCATTTGCTGTAGGGTTGGTGATGTCTGCTCGGCCCAAGGGAATTGTCTGAGTGTTTAGTTCAGCTGCATACTCTCTACTCAGCTTCTTTGCTTGATGTACAAAGCTGCAGCGCTTGAGGCGGTTCTTGGTTAATCCCTCAAGTCTGCTGTTCATGGGGTGGTCTGGGAGGGACTGGTACTTGTTTGCCTGGAGAAGGACCTTGGTTTGTCTTCTTTCGTGAAGTGTTTGTATTCCGGTCAGTTTCTCCATGAAGGCGATTGGTGTAGACTTGGTGGCCCCTGTGATGATACGAAGTGCCTGGTTCTGTACTTTATCCAGGGCTTGCTGGTTTGTCTTGGCTGTTGTGGACCATGTGGCTGAGCTGTACTCCATGGTGGGTCTTACTGTGCCCTGATATACAGTCTTCAGTATTTGCTCATTTGCACCCCAGGTTGTCCCAGCAAGTTTTCGCATTATCCCAAGTTTCCTTCGTGCCGTCCCTTCTACACGGCTGATGTGTGCTTTCCAAGTCTGCCGCTTGTCAAAGGTGACCCCAAGGTATGTGGCTTCGTCTTCTTCCTTCAGTGGAGTTCAAGCCAACATGACCTTCCCAGCTCTCTGCTTTGTTGACAAGGTGAACAGTGTGGTGGACGACTTCTCTTTGTTGATCGTGACACACCAGTCTTCGGCCCATGCTGCGAGTGTGCCCATAGCTCTTTGCATTCTGTATGTGGCCGTAGAGGCGTGTTCTTCTTTGCACCATAGCACCAGGTCGTCAGCATAAAGAGCAGCATGAACTCCCTTAGGCAGTTCAGACACCAGGTCGTTGATGAAGACCAGAAAGAGTGTCGGGGACAGGACTCCACCCTGTGGGACGCCATGGCGTAGCAGGAACTTCCTACTGTTGGATTGGTTCAGGCTGACTCTGGCTCTTCTATTAAACAGATAAGAGTTGATCCATTTCAGCATGGCCCCTCCAACTCCATTCCTCATGAGCTTCACTTGTAGCCCTTCTGTCCAGACTTTGTCGAACGCTCTTTTGTAGGTCAATCCATGCTGTAAGGACCACCTTTTGCTCTTGAATGCGTCTTCGACTTCCTGCGCTAGGTATGTAGTCTGGTCTTCTGTGGAACGGAATTGCCGGAAACCAGCCTGTTCAGATGCCAGCAGGTCATTGGTCTCCAGGTACCACTTCAGGCGTGCGTTCACAATCCTCTCCATGGTCTTAACAACACAGCTGGTGAGGCTGATTGGACGGTAGCTGGCTGCCTTTTTTGGGTCCTTCCCTTTCTTCAGTATAGGGATCATCGTTGCCTATCTCCAAATCTGTGGTAGCTGCCCTTGTTTCCAGCTGTAGTTGTATATGTCCAGGAGTTTGCACATTGCTGTATTGCCCAGGTGTGTCAGCATCTCATTTGTGATTCAGTCAGGACCGGGAGATTTTTTGGTCTTTAGTTGTCTGAGAGCTGCCTGAACCTCATGAAGCGTCAGGCGCGAGTCCATACACTCTGACGTAACCTTAGGTGTTTTGCTGTCCCTTTGTTCTCTTCTTGCTTCCCTCAGTCGTTCACTGTTGATGGGGATGTCGCTGACATCTTTGTAGTTTTGGGCAAAGACGTTTGCTGCTTGTTTGCCCACCAACAGCTCTCCCTCCTCTTCCAAGGTAACTGAGCCTCTCGCTTTGTCTTGGTCGTCGTTCAGCTGTTTTGTTAATCTCCACAACTTTCGGCCATCTCTCTCGAGGTTCAATGAAGCTGTCTTGTGTCTCCAGCTCTTTCTTTGGGCCTCTAGCTTGTGCCTTAGGATTTTGGCCTTGGCATGCTGTAAGTTGTGGTTTGCCTCCTGTGAGGGATTGTTTCGGGCTTCAACTCTGGCTTCGGACACCTTGGTTTGCAGCTCCTCTAACTGCTCACTCCAGTAGGGCTTGTAGTCTTTCCTCGCACCTCTAGGGATGGGCTGCTGTGCTGACTTGAGGATGCATTGGTTGAAGTCCCTGACTATGTTGTTAATGTCTCTGCCTTCAACTCTGATGTCTTTGCAGAGTTCGTCACTCACAGACTGGAAAAGGGGCCAATCAGCCTTTTTGTAGTTCCATCTGGGTAGGCTAGATGACATAGAGACAGAGCGGTCCAGTATGATGAGGACTGGACGGTGATCACTGCCTCCAAGTTGATCAGTGACTTTCCTCTGGACATGTCCGTGTATGTCGTCAGTACAGAAGGCAAGGTCAGGCGTTGATGTATTGAGTGCCATCTTCTCGAGTAAAAAGTTGGAGGATTCCTCCGGCTGATTGATGAGGTTCAGCCTGTTGTCATCCTGCCAGGTCTCCACTTCCTCTCCTCGGTTGTCCATGTGGTCATATCCCCAGCTTTGTGAGTGACTGTTGAAGTCTCCAACAACCATGAGGTTTGTTGCTTCCATTGGGATACTGTCTAGGAAAGAGCTTTGTCATTTGGAGAGTACATATTCACAAGAGTTCATTTGAAAGCCGTTCAATCTGAGGCTCAGCACTTGGAATTCCGAGTCATCCATATGCATTTTAGTCTGGATAGCATTGATGTTGTTCCTGACTAATGTCATGATGCCTCCTTTCTTTCTGCCAACCCTGTCGCTTCGGAAGCACTGGTATCCTCTGATCTTAAAGGATTTAGCTGGTTGCAGGTGTGTTTCCTGAATGCAACAGACATTGATGTCATTCTCATGAAGGAAGTGCTGAAGTTCAGTCTTTTTGTTGAAGACTCCTTCTGCGTTCCAATGCATCACTTTGAAGTGTTGCTGTTGGACTTTCCTCCTCCTTGGCTTGTTGTAGCCCTTTGGTCTCCTCTTGGCATGATGGAAGGAGTGACCCCAGTAGCTTTGGGTGGACTCTGTCGAGGCTCAGAGCCCGGCACTGTATCTCCTTGGAGGGATTCCAAAGATCCAGCACCACATCGATGAATACCATTGTTTCGTGTAGTCATACATCTTTGGTTACGTGATGCAGTGGTTTGTTAGAGAGTGCCAATGGCCCAGCATCTCCGATTTCAACTCTCTAGGTTGGTTAGGGTTACCTCACCCAAAGCCCTTGCCGACCCAACGACTGACCACAAGGCAGTGGTGATTTTGAAAGGGTTGTCTCCCTTGGTTTGGTATAAGAGTGGTCCTTCTCCACCGTTCCCATCTAACTCGGGCTGTTGTGCTCAGAGACCACTGCTGGATTGCCGTTACACCGGTTATGATGGTGCTCGCCGCTCCAGCTACTGTCACCCAGGTTGTGACAGGCCATTTGTTAATCCACGAGGCTGTGGAGCTATTTTGACCCATAGCTGGGTTCTAGGTTAGCAGGCTTCAGGGCATATCCACACACCGGTGGGCCATGCAAGCCGTGCCTTTAGGGGCCTAGATCCTCCAAGACCAGGTGGTTTAGCCTGGGGCCGCAAGATGCCCAGTTTCCGTTTGCCACCTCGGGGAGGTCCCATAAATGGGCCACAGCGGTCTTACTGCATGAGAGGCTATAACTGGCAGGGAAGGCTTACAAGTGGCTCCCCGGTTCCCACTAGGTGGTAGCCAGCGGTGAGGCTGTAAGCTGTAAGCGAGAAACACGAAGCTACTCACTACAACAACACGCAGTTGCGCATCAAAGCAGTCATTACGGTATTAGTATTTCACGAGAATTAATATTTTATTAACAGTGACGATTAAACTAAATGTGGACATGCATAATCAAATACATGTACTTAAAGTGAATTGGTCTATAGACCTTTTTACAATACGATTTTCCATAGCAACGAATGTTGCATTTCGCGCATGCGCATTCTGCGTAGGGCAATACGCAATAACGATGTCTACAGTCTATCATACTTTAAGGCTTTAATAGATGCGATTTCATGTTATGTCACCCAAAAAAACATTAATTTTGGGATGACTTAAGGCGGTAAGTACTGAAAACGTGAATTTATTTTTTAACAGATCTATGAAAATGTGCGGGAGTAATAATTCAATTGTCAAAAAGGGCACACATGCACATGCACGTCGTTTGTTTAAGGTATCATTAGACGACTTTTTCATCAGTAATTTAAATTGAAACAGCAGGGTGTTATAGATAAAACTTTATTACCCCTGTATTACATAATATTACACAATTTGTATTGTAGACCTCCTTTGAATAACTGGATTGGTCAGGCGGCAAGTGTCAAACAGATTGGCACGCCAACGGTTGTTCATTCAACCGGAACTTTTATAAATACCATGATATAATTAATCAGTAACACTTATTAAAATGGTAATTTATGTAACTTTTAAATATACCGATCAATGTTTATGGATTTTGAGAAGGGAAAATTGTGTGACGTGCATTATTAAAAATATCATGTATTAATTACCACGGATTTATATTATGTAATATAAATCGGTGGTATTACGAAGAAGCGGATAAAATGTGTGTTATATCCCTTCCAAACAACCCATCGTAACTTCTCAAGATTTTGAAAAAAATAATTAATTATTTAAAATCTATTTATGTGACTTAATTGTTTTCTGTTTGCATCACAGGCAAATCGGATAAAGGATGTTCTGATATTTTTTCAGAATTATAATTAATCTCGATTTCATGTTTTAAAATTTCTTTTGTTTTTATATGAACTATTTCAACAGCAAATAAGTTGACTTTTCATTTGCTAATAGATATATTAATTTACACATCTTCTTAAAAAAATGATCTCAGCTAGTGTCAGGTCCGTGATCGTAAATTCTTAAACAAGTATCTTTTCCATGCCTTTTTATGACATTCTTCGCCACAAAGCTATAAGACATCTTTTCTATATTTGTTAAAAGCTATTTCATATAATTTTCTTCCGTTTACCTTGAACTAACTCGGTATTGTCTATGAACTTCTACTATATTTCTATGTAGGGCGAAGGATTTTCTGCCCTACGCAGATTGCGCATGCGCGAGAAAATTCTAATTCCGGTCGATTTTTCATAGCAACCGACCGCGTCGTAAAAAGGTCTATATAATGAAAGGTCTGAAATACAATGAATAATAATGGGATATTTCATATATTTATATAGTGGATAATAAAAAGTTCTAGAACACAATATTATCATTCATCATATAAATGTTCATTCTACTTCTTTTAGAACTGTATCGACATTTTTTTCAAGCAATATTTCATAAGAATATCCAAATGATGCATTTTTATTGTATATTTTCTTCGACGACTTCTTAGTAATAACGTCAAAATATTTAGCAGACAAATAAGGCAAAGAAGCACATTATAAACGCAATTAATATTGACATAAGATATTACTTCCGTTGTTCAGGTCATCGGGCCACTAATGAGATCATTTGTTCCTATAATAAAATTTCTCTCCCATAAAAGAAGTGTCATAAGTTTGGTCATCAAATGTGAGAAATGACATTCCTGGCACTGAGTGTTCCGACATTTAGATGTTTTTCCCAGAATAGTGACAATAAAATTGGTCGGAATATTGTATTTCTATTTAATACTGGAGATGAGATTATGCAGGCAGTAACATGAGCAATAAATGCATGTTGCCCGAAAGGATTTGCAACCGAACAAAAAGAATTAAAATTTTTCGTTTCGTGTGAACGTGACTTTCAACATTGTTAACACTATGTATGTTGTTTTAAAATCAATTCGAGTATCTATCTTACATGAATGGTGTTGTTGTTTTTTCAATAACACTTCATTTAATTCAGCATTTCGTCCATTTTTCTTTAATAAAAGTAAAGTTCTTTTATATTTATCTATCATTTGTCTTTACAGTATTATGATTTTTCTATTTGATGACCATTGAGGTTCATAACACACAGACGCCCACCCACCCCGCTTTCGTTTTGAGATTATACTTAAGATTGCATATGTTATGCTGGACTTGGTAATGTCAAAATAAAGAAAAGAATGTATACTTTATGGTTAATCAACGGTATTGATTAATGTCTATATAATATGGAAAAAATAATCTTTGTTTTGTCTTTTTCAAAGTACGTGTAGACAATCTTTTGTTGTCTTTTGATAACGGTTGCAAGGATGGATGCTATAAGTTTGAGTGAGTTTTGTGGTTCTGACTTTGAGGTTATACATTTAAGTGCGCTAAGACATTATCCCAAACAGTCCCTTGGAATTGCACGGAACCACAATTTTTTTGAATGTTCGGATCGACGACATGGGACTTTTGTATGATTACGTTCTGGTATTATTGTTAAGTGCAGAGACACTCCTCACTACTTTAAAATGATTTTTTTCGAGTGTCGTCGATGTGTATGAATGTATATTTATATAATAATAAATTAAAGTGAACATGTACATGTAGTAGCCACTCCTACATAGTCTTTCTTATTTATATTTTATCCATGTATGATATTAATTAAGGAGTTAAATGATAAATTATTAATGTTTGTCTGAATGGAAGGAAAGAAAACATATTATACTAGTAATACATGTATACATTAAGTAGCGCAGAATAATCACCAATCTTCTATAAAAATGTTCATGTAAATCTTATCCGAGGCAAGTAGTCTTTAATTATATAATTAAAAGTTTAGCGGCGAAAGGGTTTATATCAAAAATAAATAATTTAACTTTGATGTTTCACAAACTCATATTAATGTCGCAATAATTAAGTCGCGTGATGTTTGCGGTAAGAAAATTGCATTTGAAGGGAGACAATGTGAGAGAGAAATATCCCGGGAGCACAGGCTAATTATCTTTCTTTGATTAAAGTATTGTATCTCTAAAATTATATATTTGGTTCCAGGCCTGCTTGATGGATCCTCGGGCGAGGTAAAAAGTTTTCTTGGGACAATTAACCTGCTTCCTGCTCCAAAATCATGTATGTTAAGCCAGGGTCTTTCAAATAGTAAATAGAAGTTTATTTGAAAGACCTTGGTTAAGCATATTGTAGTCGCACTGGTTAGGTCGACTGTCAAGATATGACCGAACACGTGTTAAAATCGGCGTAAAACAAAAATAAAAAAGCAAGCAAGCTTAAGTTATCTTATGACTTATCATTGTCATGAAACTAAACATTAGATATATAATTAGTATAAAAATCCCAATCTTATAAAATAACAGTGCAACCTCTGCATTGCCTCTGTAACCAATCTTTCCAACAACAATTAATATCAATTTTTTCCAAAGTAAGATTTCATGATAATTTCATGTTAATTTAACCTCTGTAGAGCAACACCTCTCTGTAACAACCAAATTCTCTGTTTCATACAGGGTGATGCTCCGCACATATAATCTATACAGATTACCGAATATGTGCGTTCAACGAGATATTATTTAGTATCATATTCAATTTTATTTACCTTATTACATGAGATTTGGGATGCTTCTTTTGCAGAATAAAATAGAGAAAAAATAAAGTTGCAACATAATTTTTAAAGACATTTCGTGAAAAAGGTTTACTTGCGCACGTAGAATTTAAAAGATATTTTGTCCTCGAATATGATTAATGATCAATATTTCCGTTTTAGGCCCATCACAAATTAAATCAGAGTGAATATTTAACTAAATTGATCTATGTTTTATTGGTCTTTTTTTTTGGTTCAATATAGTCCACAACAACTCAGCCAGCTCACTTGTAAGAAATCTGTGTACCAGAACAGCTTCATTCCGACCACCATCATCCTCTGGAATCGCCTACCTATACAAATTGTTAGGAGGGGTTCAAGTCGGCGCTGATGAAACACACAACCACCAACTAGACACATTGCCAGTTTTTTACCAGTTTTTAAAAAGATGTAAATAGACAATTTTTAATTGTAAAGAGGAAACCAATTGCTGCGCATGTACATAGTTTTAGTTTCATCGCGATTATGCTAGAATGAAGAGTGAGGCGATTACTGAAGATGATGATGATGATAATGATGATGATGATGATGATGATGATGATGATGATGATGATGATGATGATGATGATGATGATGATGATGAACATAAACGTGTTTTCATAACGTTTGTGTCCTAAGATTGCAAATGCATGCAAAGGAAAACTGTGTAAAAATGGATAACAAAATTTCAAAATATATTATATTTATATTTTAAGAGAATTTAGATGTGTTCAACCCTAAATATACTTACAATCGAAAACACCCGAGTAATATCCAATCGAATACTTCCTCTCGCAGCCTTGGAAAAGGTCAACAGCATTTGCGGACAAATATTCTACAAAGGACAATGCTGTCAGCTCAAAGTGTTAAGCTTGCATGGTATACTTGATATCTTTAAACAATCAAAGCTCGTTTTGATTAGGTGCATTATTTAATTGCGCTGCTTTCCGCGAATAAATTTGAAACTAGCACCTTCTTGGATAGGAAGGGAAGTTCGGATATTTATCCACAAGCCAGTTTGTAAAATGGGATACAGACATAAATATCACGCTTTTTTTAAGGTTTTGAAAGTTGTTGGGAACCTTGTTTTGCAATATGCAGATTTTAAATTTAGAATTATACTGATCTTCTGAGATGACAAGATTGTTTTGGAGTTAAAACATTGTTTTATTCAATTTTAAGTTTTGTTTAGGCTTGTTGTTTCCATTTTTATTTAAGAACAATGGTATAATATGAAATTTTCTCCGCCATTTTATTTCAAATGTTGCAAAGAAGTTATACAAAAAGTTTTTAGGCAAAATACTTATTGGTTATTTTACTATTTCAAAAAAGGGCTGTTAGATGTGAAGCATGTCAAAAATACCATAGAAACCTGCTCCAGCACCATCTTAACACGGGTTAAATAGTCATGTTGCAGGTTTAAGTTAATTACTTATTTTACCAGTTTCATGATCCCGTACAGACTAAACTGAGTATTTTTTCATATAATTAATTATTTGGTTTCCTAGCATATATAGCACAGGAATCCCTGTCTAGACTTTCAGTCACAGTTCAAGTTTTTTTTCTGAAAATAAGTACATGTACTTATATGGGTTTAGCAGGAATCATTTAGTAAGTACCTAAATATGAAAATAAGCTTGTAGCAGAACTAACAGCAAGGTTAATGGTTTGGTAATGTTTTCAAAGTGGCCACCTTTTTAAATAATAACTTTGTTTATATTTGATAAGTGTAACTATATATAGTAATGGTATTTTTTTTTTTTATTTTAGTGTGCTGCCAAAGGTAAGCTCCCTTGGTGCAGCTGGTGCCCGGCTGAAGCACACACTGCCAGAGTTACCTTATGAATACTCAGCATTGGAACCAGTCATCTCAAATGAAATCATGCAGATTCACCACCAGAAACATCATCAGACCTATGTTAACAATCTTAATGCCACAGAGGAAAAACTTGCCGAGGCTATGAAAAACAGTATGTATGATTACAAGTTATGATTGAAGCAATATCCTTTTTATGTCTGCTACAGAGAGGCAACAAAATGTAGGGCTCCCATGCTTACATTTGGGTGTTTAAGTTTATGTGGCGACATGTACAATAGGTAACTGTCAAAGTTATTTAAAGTTTGTCTGGACTTATTCTCTTATACCACTAATGCAATTTCGTTGAAACTTGCAATGGTTTGGTACCTCAGGTTTTCTGGTTGAATGGTTTATGGCTGAGTTAAGGCCGTTGAATTAAAAATGCATTTTGATATGTTTATGATTTTTGTGTCACCAGCTATACAGAAGCTGATACATTCTACAAAAAAGCTACAACTTAAGGTATTACCACCCTAATATAGGCACTATAAGGAACTAAAAAATTGACATCATAGGTCAGAGATATAGGGGAGACTGGGGTACTCTGGGACATGGGGCACTGCGGGACAATGAGATTTTTTGATAGCTCTTGTTCTTTGATTTAAACCTGATTTATGCAGATGATTGATCTTTTTAAGATTTTTTCCCTTCAAAGGTTTCATAGCAGCAAATTGAGTAAAAACCAGTCTGGCGAGTACGATGCACTTTTTACCTTTCAAAGTGAAATTCTACAAAAGTCCAATATAGCTTTCAAATTCTTCTATATTGAATACTTATTTGTATCATATTAGTAAATCATTATGTGCTAAACATTGCCTTTATTTTCTGATTTGAAATAAACCTTGGTTTGATTGTCTTTTTAAATTATTGTCACATAAAAAATGGTGGGGGTGGTTGGGGTACTCTGGGACAATACTCTTTTGGATTAGACTTTCATGTGTATCAAACTCAAATTGACCTTTGATCTTTTATGACCTTGACCTTGACAGTTAGATTATTTCACTTTCACTGATTTTTGCCATAATTGATTGTAACTTGGTAATTAACAAATGAATTTTATCTTCATGTTTAGGCAAAACAAAATTTTGGACAAGAACTTCTGAAAGGATGAACTGACCTTGACCTTTGAATGACCTTAACCATCATGGCCAAATTATTGAATTTTGATTGTCATATTTTTTCATTATGGAAGAATTTGATTCATATAAGGACATAACAACACTTGTGATCAAAGAAGCATATGGAATAATTTAGATATGTTCTTGACCTTTCAATGACAATGAACGTCAAATGAATGAATTAAGATTATATTTTTTAACTTTGTCATTCATTAATATGGCAATGATTCATGCTTGGACAAAACAAGTGTGACTATACTCAACTATCAAAATTAAAATTAGAATAAAGAAATTTCAATAGAAATCCTACAGAAAGCCCAAAACAGCAAAATTGAAAATGTTGCAGACTCAGTTTTATTGAGCCTGTTCATTAACAGTAATGGAAAGTGCAATTAACCGCCCCCTCCCCCACCGGCTTAAGCAGAATTCCACATTTAACATGCACTTGATCTATCATCTAGATTTTTGAAACAACCCCAGATTTTCATTCCCAGTAATGTTTTAGTTTCAATGAAATTATACATGTTGTCCTACGTTATTACCCAAGCATGTCCCACTGTACCATATATGGTGTCCCAGAGTGCCCCCTTGCTCGGGGAACTCTGGGACATTTTAATGACCGTATTCTTATGTATATCTCAAAGTCAACTTTATTATTTTAGGTTCAGTTAGTTATCTGTTACATCCAGTACATATTGTCCTTTTCATCCACAAAAGAGAGCATCAATCCTTAAGATGTGTTAAGTAGGAGATTAAAAAATATGATTTTTGTCCCAGAGTGCCCCAGTCTCCCCTACCTTAAAGTACACCTGTATGCAAAATTTAAACAAAGTTTACTGTACGGAAATCAAGTTATGGCCACTTTTCTGAACTCAAGCTAGGATGTTATGAGGGCTTTTTTTAGAAATGAGGAACCTTTAAATAATCTGCAATAACATTCTAATGAAAAATGCTTTCCCATTAATTTTTGGTAAGAAACAAATAGTACCATTCAGCAAAATTACATAAGCAAAATTATGGTTTCTACTTGAAATTTATGAAATCTGTATAAAAATGTTACCCTACCCCACCCATTTTTACCACGTGCCTGACCATTTTCATACTTAAGGAGCCTATTTAAAAAATCCTTAAAATTTACCTAAATGAGTGCCTGTTTTCAAAGTTTCCCTAAATTCTAAGAGAAGTATATTGATTGATCTTGTAAAATATGAAATACTTTTACCGTCTAGTTTTGATTTTATTACACTTTAAAATATCATGTACCATATTTATTACTAGATTTAGCATAATTTAGATAATAAATACCTATATAAATTAAAAATCAAAATTAAACACTTTTTTCTTTCCAAATGGGACATGAGAGAAACATAAATAATGTTAAAACAAAAAAAGAAAGAAAAAAAAAGTTGACCCTTCTGGGGATTGAACCCACAGCCCTCATTTTCAATGTAGTAAACAGTAGTTCTGGCCTATTTGAATACTCTGCAAAGCGGAGGTAATGTATTAGGATGGTAATACCTTAAAGGGATGATTTCTGTTTGGTCTGTCTGTCAGTCACAAAACTTGTCAGACAGTACTACATGTCTTATACTACTAATGCTATTGGAGTGAAAATTTACAGGATTGATCAGTACCTCAAGTACTTGCACATATTTAGCAGGTTTTCCAGTTGAATGATTTTTGGCTGAGTTTTGGTGCTTACATAAAGTAAGCATTTTGGCCTGTTAATGATAGTTGTGTCTCCTGCTACACAGTAGCCCTAATATGTTACAAAATAGCTGCAACATATAGGAAAGATCAGGGGTGAGATCATTGTTTTTCATTACATGTGTGTAGTAAAAACTTAACATTGTGAAACATCTTCTAATGAGTGTCTTCCAAGTTTGTTCAAATAAAAGCCCTGGGGTTTAAACTGGCCCCGCTCCGGGGGCCTATATACAGGTGAGCGACCTCAGGGCCATCATGGCCCTCTTGTCTTATTATACAGCTTGTCTCTTGCAGATGATGTTGCTCAGGTGATATCCCTCCAGCCTGCACTAAAGTTTAATGGAGGTGGCCACATTAATCATTCGATATTCTGGCAGGTTCTCAGTCCAAAAGGAGGTGGCTCACCATCTGGTGATCTCTTAGAATTGATAAAGAGGGATTATGGTTCATTCGATAAAATGAAGGACATGTTGACACAGGCTTCGGTGGGTGTACAAGGCTCGGGCTGGGGCTGGTTAGGATTTAATCAATTGAATGGTAGATTGAGGATCCTTACTTGTGCTAATCAAGATCCTCTGCAACCAACAACAGGTAATAACAATAATTTAGATGAAGATTAAGGAAATTATTATTAAACCATACCTTGCTTAAAATCTTAAATGGACTTGTCCATCTTACAATTGTGACAAAACCATTTGTCGTTTTTGTGGAAAATTTCTAAGGTTGAAGTCAGATAGTCTGGTTAATTTCTTTATAAGGTCAATGATTTTATAATGAAAACAAAAGTTTACAATTTGCAATAAAAAAAATTGCCAATACTTTACTGATGTGTACTGAACTCGTACAACTTTTCACCTGTAATGTCGATGATTATTTGTATAGACTTCTTTGTGTAACATCTTTATTTCTTGTAGTATTAATTAAATAAAAAATTAATGAATCCAAGTACCAGATTTGAGTAAAAGAAATTGCAACAGAATGTAACATTTGTTAAAGTTGTGAAAAATAATATATTTATTACCTATATTTCAGGTTTTATTCCTTTATTTGGAATTGACGTTTGGGAACATGCTTATTATCTTCAGTATAAAAACGTTCGACCCGATTATGTTAAAGCTATTTTCGATGTTGCCAACTGGGAGGAAGTGGGAAACAGGCTGGCCCAAGCCCGACTGGATGCCTAGATGGGCATTGTTTGTTTGTTTTGGGTACTGTAATAATACATTTTATTACAAGTTTACTGGATGGAAAGGACAAGTGTAGGCATTTGCCCTGTTTATACAGTATACCAGTATAGTTTAAGTTATATAATGACTTTGTTGACTGATATTTAATTGACTTAATTGATTTAAGGGTGATCAGTGATTTTATCAACTATGTGTGTTTCAAATAGATTATTTTTTTGTGTGTGTCATAATATTATGATATTGAATACATATTTGCTTAAGGAAAAAAAAACTGAATACACAGAAGTTCTGAAGAAAAACTCTCCACACAAGAATGATATTTAGATTGCATTAGGAAATAGTCATGTTTTTTCTTACAATCAGATGTACAAGTTGGCCTGCCGGCATTCTTTTTACATAGGAATAACTATTATAAAATAGCAAAAAAGTGTGCTTTTTGTTTTCACAGATATTTGTTTCACGAGTATTACTATTATAACATTTAATGTTAGTATTTTTTTACACTGTATGGTAGAATTTGATACAGTTGAACATTAAAACTAGAAATGATTAAAAAAAGATTGTATGATCATTGTTTTTATACTGAAAGAAATAAATGGTGTTACTTGCACATTTCTTAATATTTTTGGCTGTAATAAGTCACGATTTAAAATAAAAAAAGTTTTTACAGCAAAGTCACAAATTTGAAATAAATAAAAGTTCTTACAGCTTTATTGGATGAAATGATATGACACCTTTTAGAAAAGACCTATTTTGTATCTATATGATTGAGCTTCTTATTAAGTCTTAAAATGGAGTTAATTAAGATGTGAGGTTTTCATTAATTCAGCTAGTCTGATAGTCAGTCATAGGTAAAATATTTAAGATTTTTATTCAGACTTTGCAAGTTTTTGTGGCCCATTAGAAAGCTTATATTGGTACATTTATAAGTACTTATATGCAACTTATTTGCTATTAAGTCTCAATTTTAGTTAAGATTTGTTTACATTTTTTCCAATGCAATTGTTAAAAGTAAACAAACATGTATGTATAAACAAGAGTATTAATAAATCATACACAAATGAGATTTCTTTTTTGTTTTGTCTAAATGTATAAAAATGATCATTTTTAAAAAGATATTAATATAAAGGTACAATTGTTGTGATTTACCTTCCAAATTCAGTATCTTTCTTAAGCTCAAAATTTTCAAAGAAAAAATTTGACCTTTTGCTGTCATGGTGTCTTTTTCTTTGCCAATACCTTTGCTGTCCGCAAACTTTTGACTTTTAGGTTACTATTTGTTTTTTGTTTTTGTTTTTTTTTTTAAATTCTGAATGTATTGTTTGTATACTTGGATGCAAAAAACATTTAGACAAGACCTTCTTAGAGGCATGGGACACAACAACCATTTAGACAAGACATTCTTTGTAAAAGACGAGCCAATTAATAGATGGCTAATTATAAAATCTATCTGGCATGAAGTTTGTTTTGAACACATTATGAACGCCAATGATTTTGATAAAGGTTTATCAATCTAGTAGTGACTTTATCACTTAAACCTCTCTGTTATTCCAAGCAAAATTTCTTTTATCATGATGACAAAATTTCTTTTATGACATAAAGGTACAATTTCTTGTTTGGTTAACGATCTTGCATACATATATACAGTAGAACAACAAAAGCCAATTTTCATTTCACTTTTATTTACTATGCCAGTAAACAGAAAAGAATAAACCAAACATAAAAAATCAAGAAATTTCAAAAGGGGACCAGATATTACAAAGTTCCTACAAAACAAGCCAACTTCACTATAAACTGACATAAACTTGACAATTACATGTATGATAAAAAAAGAAACTCCTACTAATCATGACATCTCTCAACATAAATATTACAGCATGGGATAGGTTGTTGGAGAGTTTAGCTTGTATCTAGAAAGATGTCTTTACTATAGTACGAATGTATGCAAATGGATATTTGGAAACCAAATAGTTATTGAACTGTGAAGTGTATAATAATTTCTTACAACGTAATGCCCCTTTACAGCTAACCATTATTCATCATATTTAAGGACGTTTTCAGGAGTTTTCATATAGACATATAGGCAAAATGAAAACTGTTCAATAGATTTTTCTATTATCGTGTTCAAACAACATGTCAAGTTAAAAGAAATTCTATTGAACAATTTTAATTTTGTCTATATGAAAACTACCGAAAACATCCATAAATAAAATACTAGATAACACAAAATAAAACTAAATACAGCTGTTGATCTGTGAAGTATATAATATAATTTCTTATAAAGTAATGCCCATTTACATGTACAAAGAACCATTATTCATTATATTAATAAATGCTAGATAACATAAAATATGCATTGGGCAATAAATGAGACATTTAAAACAACAATTACCAAGCAGTGATCAAATACACATCCAGGTAAATATAAATCTGAACAATGATCTTCAGTTTAAGTAATTAAAAAGAAAATACACGCCATCAGTCTTCCGATACCATACTTCCATTAAGTTCCAATATTTTGAAGTCGGAGACTGCAAAATCTCTAACTTTGGAAGTAACTTGATATAGATAAAGAAGGAAAAGTATTACATTCTGGAAGTTAAAATCTGGGAGTAAAAACTCCCATAACTTTCATTAATGAAAACCCTGTGATGGTGAAATTGTGTTGTAAATTATATGGTTACTTCCATTGATAGTGAAATTGTAGTATAAATCATATTGTTAACCATATGGACTTGACAATTTAAATATCTTTACAACAGGAAAGCTGCGCTGGATATTGAATGATTGCATTGATTAATGTATTATAATGAAAGATTTCTTGAAGTTTTCATTAACCTTCCTAGATAAGTGAAATACCTTAACCTAAAATCCTGAACTTAACTGTATTTTGAAACTTTCCATTGTGGGTTTAATGTATTTCATTATCAAATTAATACAACAGAGCAAACAAAAGAAAACAGCCTGGATGAAATGTACATGTATGCAGACTGGCCTGATTTAATGCTCATGTCATGATGGTTTCTAGTGTTCTTATGTTCTAATATACTAACGTTATTACTTACTGCTCTGAAACTAGAACTATCATATTATATGTGAATACTAAAAATTTGTAAAATGCTGTCCTCTTAGTAAAAATGGTGCATGCTTCATCTACAATATGAGAGATTTTACTTCTCCGAATATTCAGAAGGGAAAAAATACAAAATACTATATAAAGATGGTAAAGATACCTACAGTTGTGTAAATAATAACAATCATGACAAATACAACAAAATGAAACATTTGAGCCGCATCACGACAAAACCAACATAATGGGTTTGCGACCAGCATGGATCCAGACCAGCCTGCTCATCCGCGCAGTCTGATCAGGATCCATGCTGTTCGCTATCAGTTTCTCTACTTGTTATAGGGTTTGTTAGCGAACAACATGGATCCTGATCAGACTGCGCGGATGCGCAGGCTGGTCTGAATCCATGCTGGTCGCAAACCCATTATGTTGGTTTTGTCGTGACGTGGCTCATTTATAAGTAAATAAACAAAATATTTCTGAAGCAAAATGACATGAAAGCATGATTTTTTCATCAAATATTATATTGTCTTTACTACATTATCCTAGAAAATGAAAACCCAACAAATATTTGAAGTGATGCCACACATCTACATTTAAGATATATTATGCTCAAATTAAACTGATAATTACTTTACAGTCTCTTGAAATGAGAAAAAAACACAGAGAGAAAATATGTTTTAAACTCTACACACTACAGGTAATCACAGTATGAATACAAAGTGTTGATACAAAATCTGTCAATTGTTATGAAAATACACCAAATTAATTTGACAAGTAATAGAGAATGTAGCATTCATTTATTCAAATATGTCATTTGAATTTCACAGGAAGAATTTACTGTAAATTCACTGAATTTCGAGGGCATGAAATTTTGTGGTTTTGTCACAAAGAACATTTTAGTAGATTCTTATATTCATGGACTGTTTATTTTTTCCAAAAGAGAAAAGAGATGCAAAATAATCTTACAGCAGACGAAATGAAATATTTTTGGAACTTTTAAAATCGTGGATTGACATATCTCAAAAACCAAAAAAATTAGTTCCCAACAAATAATAATTTTGCAGTACTAGACTTCTGCAATCAAAGTATTTTATCCAAAACTGAGCATAGTATATCTTTGAAGTCAGATGTTGTTATCTACATTAATGAAAAAATATGAAGTAAGGTCATTCTCTAAAATGATGTAAATAAATCAAGTTTTCATTAAAAATAGAAATGAATCCAAAATGAAAAGTTACATGTTTAATGAAAAATGTAATACACGGGGACTTCAACAATCATTAAAAAATAAAAATCATAATGCCGGAAAGTGAACACATAATTTGAAATAAAATATACATCTAACATGATATGAGTATTACCAGAATGACAAGAATCATACATTTTCAAACACCATAAACTAGAACTATCGCTGAATGCGAGTCATACCCCCACCAATGTCCTTGACAGAAGACGACTTGGAAAGGTGGTTAAGGAAATAACTTAAGTCGCACAAATACACAAAAAGAAATTATCTCTGTTGAAAAAAAGACTTATTGTACAGGTAATAGTATAAATATCTAATATCAAATCATGTTCGAAACAGTTACAAATAACCTTTCATTTTCCCAATATACTAAACTTTTTGTAAGTCAATTTTTGACCTTCAAGTGTGGCCTTGACCTTAAGCTGGCACAAGGGTAAGATGGGTTCTGCACATCGCCCAATTGGGGTGTACATTTGAGTAAAGTTTTAAGAAAATCCTTCCATTAGTATAGAATTTATAGAGCGGACACAACATATATTCTAGTATTGATTGTATGTAAATTTAAAGACTTAAAAAGGGGCATAACTTTGTCAAAATGCAATACTGAGTTATGAAACTTGACCTGCATATCGTAATTGTGACACCTCATATATCTTTTAAGTTTCAAGCAAATACCTGTGCTAGTTTCAGAAATATTCAAGAACATGTTAAAATCTAAGAACATTTTCTAAGTCAATTTTTGACCTTGACCTTTAGACTGCACAAAGGTGACATGGATTCTGCACATAACCTTGTTTAGGTGAACATTTGAGTAAAGTTTGAATAAAATTCTTCCATTAGTATAGGATTTATAGAGCGGACACGACATATTGTCTAATATGTGATTGTATGTAAATTTGAAGATTAAAAAGGGGCATAACTTTGTTTAAATGCAATACAGAGTTATGAAACTTGACCAGCATATCTTAATTGTGACATTTCATATATATTTTAAGTTTCAACCAAATACCTTTCCTAGATTCAGAAATATTCAGATATATGTTAAAATTTAAGAACATTTTCTAAGTCAAATTTTGACCTTCAAGTGTGACCTTGACCTTAAGCCAGCAAAAGGGTGACATGGGTTCTGCACATCCCCTTGTTGAGGTGAACATTTGAGCCAAGTTTGAAGAAAATCTCTCAATTAGTGTAGGACTTACAGAGCGGACGCGACATACTGCGTAATATTTGATTGTTTGATATTTGACCTTCAATTGTGACCTTGACCTTAAGCCGGCAAAAGGGTGACATGGGTTCTGCACATCCCCTTGTTGAGGTGAACATTTGAGCCAAGTTTGAAGAAAATCTCTCAATAAGTGTAGGACTTACAGAGCGGACACGACATACTGCGTAATATTTGATTGTTTGATATTTGACCTTCAATTGTGACCTTGACCTCAAGATGACACATGGGCAACATGGGTTCTGCACATCCCCTTGATGAAGTGAACATTTGAACCAAGTTTGAAGAAAATCTTTCAATAAGTGTAGGACATACAGAGCGGACACGACATATTGTGTAATATTTGATTGTTTGATTTGACCTTCAATTGTGACCTTGACCTTAAGATGACACATGGGCAACATAAGTTCTGCACATCCCCTTGTTGAGGTGAACATTTGAACCAAGTTTGAAGAAAATCTTTCAATTATTGTAGGACTTACAGAGCGGACACGACATACTGTCTAATACATGTATATGATTGTGTTTGATATTTGATCTTCAATTGTGACCTTGACCTTGAGCTGACACATGGGCAACATGGGTTCTGCACATCCCCTTGCTGAGGTGAACATTTGAGCCAAGTTTGAAGAAAATCCTTCAAGTGGTATAGGAGTTATAGAGCGGACACGAAAATGGAGACAGACGGACCGACCGACTGACCGACCGACCGACCGACGCAACAAAGCGAATCCATTATAGCCCCCCCCACATTTTGTGGTGGGGGTATAATTAACACCACATCAAAAGCTTTGTAGATGGAAACACATGAAAGCCTTGTTGATGAAAAGCCTTGTAGATGGAAGCACATGAAAGCCGTGTAGATGGAAACACATGAAAGTGAAATCAACATGAAATTACAAGTAGTCATAAGATTTGAAAACTGAATACAGAAATGAACAAATTAAGTCAACAAAAGGGCCATTATGGCCCTGAAATCACTCACCTGTATATAGGCCCCTGGGCCAAGGCCAATTTTGACCCCATGGCTTTTATTTGAACAAACTTGGTAGACACTCACCAGAAGATGTTTCATGCTTAATATCTAAGCTCTAACTCTTTGGGACTTTGAAAAGAAGATTTTTTAAGTTTTTACTATATATATACAGTGAAATTTGAGAAAACCGGACGCTGAGAAAATCGGAACTCTCTAAATACCGGACGAATAATTCAGTCCCAAATTTTCCCTTCTTTAAACTATTGTATCATACATTGACAATACCGGAATCTGTAAAAACCGAATATCGGACGGTTGATTGGGGACTACAAAATCAATTATATAGACAATTACCCTGACAATACCGGACGCCGAATGTGTGAATAACCTTGTGTACTTATCAATTGGCTAATACGTTAATTTAGCGGTAACGGAACAATGATTGTCTGATTTGTTTCTTATGTCTCTTTTCACAGTTTGATTTATTGTAAGGTATAGATGTTACCGTTTTATATAAATGCCAAAATGCACGAGGAATTGATCAGTTAAAATCAGTATGAATAAAAAATAGAGTATTTTCCTACTGTGTTGCTTTTTGTATATTCATTTCCTAAAATGACAACGCAACGGAAACGACATTTTTCGGCGCTAAGTTCTATTCCATGGCCGAAAAGAATTCGACGAGAGCTGTCTACAAGTGACAAAGTTAAATTGATTAAAGACAGTGAAACTTTGCCGAAACCTACTTTAATAATCTGACCAATATGTTATTATTATAAACAAACAAAGTAAACTATGTTCGTTAAATCATTACCCATTACCCAAATGTAAACATATGCGGATGTACTCAGACTTGATCGTTATGAGGTAACTTCTGTTCATTTAAATCCAAACTTTAATTGTATTTATATGCAATAATTGGACTAAAACAATTAAAACATATTTTCTTGTATTTTTAACATTCCTTTGCAAGTCATTGCTCGGTTATAATATAAGATCCTGAACAGCTGAAGGGGACATTGAGAATACCGGACCGCTGAGAAAACCAACAAAACACTCAGTCCGAAAGCCGTCCGGTTTTCTCAACTTTCACTGTATAAGAAAAGCAATGACCCCCTGGGACGGGCCAATTTTGACCCCAGGGCTTTTATTCGAACAAACTTGATAGACACTCACTAGATGATGTTTCATGCCAAATATCTAAGCTCTACCTCTTTTTCAAAATAAGATATTTTAAGTTTTTTCTTTCGGTTCCCATGGCAACCAGAGTTCTGCATGGAATAAATTTTTAAAGGTGACCACCAAAGGACCATTCCTGTAAAGTTTGGATGAAATTGGCTTAGCGGTTTAAGAGGCGATGTTGTTTAAAGTAAAAGTTTACGGACGATGGCCAGACGCCAGACGAAAAGTGATCACAAAAGCTCACCATGTCACTTTGTGACAGGTGAGCTTAACACAGCACAAATTTCTACTTTATTCCGACTATCAAATTATACGTTCCTGCTGCATTGATCAGCCTTTCCATGCTTCATAAGTGTACCGATTACCATGGCTCCTGATAAGCTTTTAAAAATATCAAATGGCAAACTCAAAATAAGAAAATAACCATCAACAAAAATGTCACTGCCCTACATGTGTTTTTTCACTGTTTATCAAAATATACATTATACACATGGATACAAATATACATCTACTACCATAACAAATTAACTATGAGAAAAATTAGCATTATGAAGCCAAATTTATACTCAGCCTGTATTTTATAATGTTTCATTAATGTATAAATAAAAATACCGCAATTCATTTCCTTGTTAATGAGTTATCATGAGGAAACTATTTCTATCTAAAATAAAAATACCCAAAAAACAAAGAGAGAAAAAATAGGGCTAAGCTATGTAAAAAAAATAAGTGGTTTGAAGCCAAATTTAACTCATAATGTTACATCTGTGTACAAAATATCATTAAAACCTATGTCCTACTAGGACTCCTAGTCTGAAAAACCAAAAAACTGTCTAACCGACCAATAGGCTCACTCCTATATACATATACATATCCTACATACATATATCTCTCTAGACTTTGTTAACAATGAACATGTCAAAAAAACATACAAATAATAATGCCCAACTTTTACTCAATCAAATTGCACGTCAAGATATAAAGACTTCATGTATTCAAGAGGAATGTACATGTAAATGAACCTTTTATGGCAAATGTCTGAAATATTCGAACACATTATTTCATAATATCAAAATAATATGGATTGTTTAACAGAAATGTCCAACTTAACAAAAAAAAAATTTGTCCAAGTTTCTTTTTTGTTTAGTAGGCTCCCAAGTGACTTAAATTGGGAAATGGTGACCATATGAAAATTGGAGAAATTGAAGTATCATTTTCATGAAAAAAAAAAATAATAATAAAAAAAAAACAAATATAAATGTTATTAACTTATAGCATAAATTATATGACAAATATAAATACCCAAGGCAGTTGTAATAATAGATTGTTCAAAAGTTATTTAAAACACAACAAAAGTTAAATATCTTCAAATTAAAGGAAACATCTCTGGTGTTTGTGATACTATCTGCAGGTTTATTTATATATATGTACTGGAAAGCACCAGCAGTGTTAAAATATGTGATGAATTGACATTACGCCGCCTGTCAATCAAGCTGGCAGGGGTCTTACAGATAAGCCAATCGGCGATCGTTATCAGTTTCATGCTAAGATGTCTGAGAAGTCCGCCATTTTCCTTAGACAAGTTATGTGTATAAGACAATGGTGCAGCTGTATTTATATTGAAATTTTGATTTTTTTGTCAATTTAAAGCTATTAAAACGGTATATCTAAGTTACAAAATATCCTGACATATTGACAGATGGAGTTAGTTAGTTCATTTTACACAAAACAAAAACATCAGTAACTTTCTATATATGAAGATAATAAGTTATATAGCAGGTAGGAAAGTTAAAACTGGCTATACCACATTGCATTAAACAAGGAAAAAGTTTAAACAAATACTCTATTCCTTCCTTCATTACAATTATGTCTATTCATAATTACATAATATATTATAAGATCTCGGAATATCCAGAAGATATGACATTTTTTGTTCGTTTACAACATATTGTCAATAAAATGCTGTAGTAGAAAAAAGTACTTGCAAATAAAATGAAAAAAAAAATATGCAATAAATATTTCAGGTGAAATTATTCTACCTAAATATTTCTATTAAAGCTCAATGAATTAAGATTAAATATTAAATATTTAAATACATCTGCTTCAATAACATTATATCTGATCACGGTTTTAATTTAAAGTTGAGGTATGGTATATGTGAAATTTATTTTGAAGTGAATAATATTGCGTTTTATCACAAAAATATCTAATGTACAAATAAACATATAATCATATATCATATAACAAAGTTACGCAAGGGCAATTTTCTCATTTAATTTTGACAATTTATGCGCAAATGCATTATATATAAGTGATTTTGCACATAAAACCCCAAAAACATTTGTAAATGTTACTGTTTTATTGATATAATTTTACTATTATATGTTCCACTACATCAATTTTAACTATCTTTGAATTTGTAAACTAAAATGATATTTTGTCAGTAACATCTTCCTTGATGTCAGCAAGAAATATAACAAGATCTTTGCCAAACGTTTTATTCATCATTAATGCGTGAATGCAGTTAATTTTTTTTAAATACCATAACACATTGAACTATTCAATAAAAGCATTAAAATTTTATATATACCAATTTATATAAGGTAAATTCATTAGTCACTTTAGTGGCATGACAGTTTCGCGTAAACGTCTGTACCGTCTTTTGTCTAAGGTTCTGAATGACTGGTTACGTGAATCAGTGGGCGGAGCAATCTCTTCTCTGGCGTAATGTCAATTATATGAGCCGTGTCATGACAAAACCAACATAATGTGTTTGCGACCAGCATGGATCCAGACCAGCCTGCTCATCCGCGCAGTCTGATCAGGATCCATGCTGTTCGCTTACCAACTCTATTACAAGCAGAGAAACTGATAGCGAACAGCGTGAATCCTGATCAGACTGCGCGGATGCGCAGGCTGGTCTGGATCCATAATGGTCGCAAACCCATTATGTTGGTTTTGTCATGACGCGGCTCATATGATTTTATAATAATCTTCTACTTTCATGGTATTTGTTTCGCTATGTTTAAAAGGGGTTTGAGGATTTTTTAAATGAAAGGGCATTTATTAGAGAACACATGGCTTAATTCAAGCTGGATGGGAGAAATCTTTAGTAATACCATTTTTAGCAAAATTTCTAAATAAAATCTGATTTTTGTTATCTTTACCTTTTTTAACAAATTTTTTATATGAAATTAGATTTTTGTTCTCAAAAAAGTCAAATGCCATAAGGCCTTTATTCAATCTGAATTTAATCAAAATAACATCACTCTAAAAATAAAATCACTCTAATAAACACACCATTTTTATGAAAATGTTATTAACCCCTTAACAAAATGGTGTTTTTATCAGACTTGACACCTACAAAATAAATTTAACTTTAAAGTATTCTTGAGCAATGTTTAATCTTAGAGATACTCCCTGTTCCAAATCACAATAAACAGTTAAATTCCTGTTAAAAACATAATTATAATACATAGTAATATCTACATGAAATTGTTATCTCTCAATATTTTAAAATAAAGCACATACATTTCAAAGCACTGCCTTGTCAAACTGTGACTCAAATAGCACAAAATTGTCACATAATTGTTCATAATATGTATTTTAGCTTTTCCTCAGCTATAATTTCTAAAATAGCACATTCTATAAACAAGAGGGCCATGATGGCCCCGAGTCGCTCACCAGAAACAACTGCCTTTCAGTGTTGGAAATTATCCATTGTTAATATTTTCTTTTATTAAATTTGAGCATAGTATTTCTTTAAACAATAATTTGAAGAAATGCCATGACCTGGGGCATTTAAGCTAGCTTAAAAAGGGACAATCAAATAAATATGAGCAAACTTGATAAAAGACTACCCAAGAATGCTGCAGACAAAGTTTGGTGATCATCCATCAATTAGTTCTGTAGTAGAGGATGTTTGAAGGTTTTATTATTTTTAGCTCTGTTGACCCCTAAAAAGGGCCAATTGAAATGACATGAGCAATTTTTAGTGTGACTGTCACAAGAATTTGAAGTAAATCTGCCAAGCAGTTTCAGAGAAGAAGACGATTGTTGATGCATGATGCCGGAGCATCCCCCTTTGATACGAATAGCTCACCCTGAACCTTTGGGTCTGGTGAGCTAATAAGAATTAGGGTACTGTTCAAGATGAATTCCTACCTTAGTAACAATATGAGTAATACTATGACTTGTTTATTAAAATTCAAAGAGCACGAATGTCTTTTGTTCCTATAAATTTTGAATATTTAAAATCAAACAGATGAAATAAAAACTTTTATCATATATCTATAAATAAATATTGAGAAATATTGATGAAATAAAATGCATAGTTTTATTTTTCATATTTTCTCTGTTAGAAAAAAATATTTCACTGCAGTGAAATATATTTTGAAATTATTTTCCATATTTTAACCATTCTTTCGAATTGTTAGGGCAAAAATGTGAAAAAGTCAGTAAACATTGGAAATGCTTCTGATTTGAAAATTTTTTTTTAAATAATATCACTTATTGTCTAAACTTTAAACTCACAAGGAGTTTCTTTAGATGATAAAATACTTTTATGCAGCATACCTCAAGATTCATGCTAATTTTCATAAAAAATTTAAAAACGTATTTAAAAGTAAAATATTGTCAAATGAACAAAGAAAGTAATTTACACATTGCAAACTGCACTTAAATAAAATCTGCGACAATTTCCAATAATAGGTCAAAATATGCAAAAATAGACCTTACTGTGTTAGTCAAGCAGTTGAAATATGGTGATTTAAAATGCTGCAAAATAGTCATTAATTGCATATCACATGTAAAATATTTCTTGACTTGAGAATAATTTTATCTTTCCTAAAGTCTTAATACTTTTTTTTCAAAGTTTGATTTTACTGAAATTATTTTGGTTCATCTGAGGCATGGAAATTAAGTGAATGGGAAAAATAAAATCATTTTCAGTATAAAAATACTGTATTAATATATTTAAAGTAGTTTCAAACCAATTTGGCATCAACTATAGAGTGCTTTTTTTTAATCTTTTATGATTTTTTCATGAAATAACAAAACAACACTAGATCTTCTAAATGAACACAATACAAAGCACTCAGCTTGCAGAAAAACAAAACAACATCAACATTTTCAGGAACTGACAAAAAACTTTTACAGAAAAAAACTAAATAAAATCATAAAAAAAAAAATATGTTATATTAATAAATGCAATAACCTGTAATGCCCACAAGTACACCTTCAAGTATACACAAAAGTATCAGCTAAAAAAAAAGTTCACATACAGTACATTACATAAACCACTTGTCAACAATTAAACAAGATTATCACCTTTGTAACTGCCAATAAAAATCCCATAGACAGGAAATACACAACACGGTAAACCCACAGGAATCTGAATACATATATTATATTAATGGATTTTCTATATTTCTACGCACCACTTGAAACAACTTCTTTCACCAATCAACGCAAGGCGTCTCAGATATATAGTCACCAACCATAAGCATCTACAGGATCCCTCAAGCAAGCATCTTTGTGACATTTTTTCCAGTGTTCTTTCTGGCACTCTTCGCTGCAATACCGTGCCAACCGGCATGCTCCGCAATACCTGAACTTTAATGATTCCTCGTACAACTTCCTACACCCTGGAAACGAGCAGAATGCATAAATCTGATCCTGCTCTTGCTCCTTCTGTAATTTCTCTTTTGGTTTCCAATTTTGAAGAGCACTCTCAGCCTCCTTGTCAAATGCTAAAATTGTTTTGGCATGAGTAAAATTTTCCACTAAAAACAAAGCTCCACCTTTCTCTGCCTTACTTGCAGCCATTTTTTCAATGTAGTCTCCCATAATCCTTAACACAGGAGACCTTTTAATTTGACTGCGGATACTTTCCGTTCCTAGAATGGAAATCGTCAGTAATAACTTTGAACAACACAGCACCATATGAATTGCACCATAAGAAAACAGATTTGCCTCGTGTTTATTTTTCACTCTTTTGTAAATGTCTTTGAGAAGCCCATACTTTACAAACAGTTCTGTAGTCTCGGTTTTCCCAACAAGCAGACATTTGTGCGTGACTTCTAGCGCTAAAACTGTCAGTAACTCTTCATCCAGCTGCCTTATTGCTTTAAAGATGGTAGGCAGAATTTTGCTCTTATTGACTAGAATCCTTTTGATCACAGCTACATTACACATCATTTCAAGAAAAAGTCTCATAAAACAATGCAAGTTCTGAAAATAGTGACATTTCTGAAGCCCTTTTTAAACTTAGCCCCGGACATACCTGGGATCTACAGCCGTTTTCCTAAGACCATGCATTACACGAGTAAATCAATTTGTATTTTGCTTTGAGCTGTTTTCATCTTATCGGGATTACAATGTCACCAAGATTTCAAATCACCATCCTCCCAATTTTTGATAATCTCTTTTGCAATATTCCTCTATTGCCTTTTGCAGTAGACATGGTTTCCCCCTGAAAAGAAAAAAAAATTGTTTTTCAAGTTTTTCATTCATCATTCCAACACATACTCTTTGTAAGTTTGTTAATAAACAGAGGAAATATAAAGTTTTGTGGGTTCAATGTATTGTGTCTTCTAGAACTAACAACATTTCAAAGGTTAATGATTGGTACCCCTTTGGTTTGACTAAAAATTTTTATTTGTACTGAGTAAAGTCAAAATGGTTTTTAATCCCTTTTTTAATGCTTTTTGTAATTATTTAATAAAGACGTATCTATTCTAGGGGGGGGTGGGGGTTATATTTTTTGGAAATTCCCCCCTTTTTTTTTTAGAGGGGGGGAAAAAATTTCCTTAAAAGGAAAAAAGGAAAAAAATAAAAAAAAGTATTTTTCACTTTTAGATAAAATGCGCTTTTTTTGTCCTAGATTTAATTATAATAGAACTGATAATGTATTTGTGAAGTTACTTTAAAGTGAATATCTTCAATGGATTACATAACTAGAGCTATCATTCGTGGCACATTATGCCTGAGAGAGGGATCAACTGTTCATATTATGTTTTTATTGTACTACTTGACTGGCTGAGTTTCATGCTAATAGCATTTATTAGGTAGATATTTTTATTTCCTCTGCACAGGAGTGCATATAATGGGGTTGATTAAGTAAATGAGAACAACTTTTAATTGATATCAAAATATGTTTTCCTTTTTAAATGTGACAGCACATGTCGACTAGTGTCGAAAATACCTAATGTGAGTTTTAAATACCTTATATTTATAGGTAATATAAGATGCCCACTGACAGATTCACCCAATAAGTTAATAACTCACCCAATTTTTCTGATGAAATCGCCCACAATATAGTTAAACATTTTTTTAATTCATTTGGATTGAAAAATATTTATGGCTCCAAATTCTGACATTTATTTTGTATGTAATAGAAAGAGCACACGAAACACGAGGCTTATCTGATTTGTACAAGGGGGGTAGCCCCGAGTATAAATCAATTGCCGAGTGTTTTGGTGTTCTTTCTTTTTGTATCATTGTCCAACATAAAAGCACGTTTCCCTGTATCACAATTGAAACGCCCCGGAAAAATGAAACCAATGAAACGGACATCTAAATATGACCATTTTGTCGCTTTCCCTTTCTCTGCCGTCACAATATGTAAACCCAGCAAATATTGAGCCATCAAATGGGCATGCTCTGGAGTGCGGGTAATTAAATACCCGCACTCCGTTAACCCTGTGATGTATATGTATAAAGATTTTAACCCCGACACTTTTTAAAGAAAAGGGTTTCCAAAATATGATACAAAATTTTTTATAGATAAATCGATTTATATAGAAAGATGTAAATTAATATATCGTTAAAAGAATTGGTAATTGTTTCCAGGGTTTTCAAAAATTTTTTTGAATGACCCTACCGTTACTAGTCTCATTCGCATATTTTATTTATTTTTTAGAGTGATAATTAATAAATTAGAGTAGAGAGATCTATCTACCTACAAAGTTTCATGTTGATATCTCCTATAGTTTTAGAATTATGTCCTGGACAAGATTTTTCTAAAAGGGGATCAAAAATGGGGCTTAACAGAGTAATGGTTTTTTTGCACTGCACTTCTACCAAATGAGATCCCTTTTTCTAAAGGGGAAATAATTAAAAAATGGGGCTTGACAGAGTTATATTTCTTTTGAACTGCACTGAAGGACAAGGTGGCGACTTTACATTCGGAGAACATAAAAACATGGTGCCATGATGGTACATGAGTAAGTGAAGTAGGGTGAATCGTTATCTGTAATAATAATGACAACTTCACAGTTAAAATGATCAATACAGCCATAAACACTTATGATATGAACTATGTAAATAACCAAGGTACATGTATATGGAGTGAAAAAAAAGAGTTGTTTCCCTTGTCTTCAAGTAAAATCCATATCTCTAATGCTAAAACAATACAAACTAAGCCATTTTTAAACCGCTAGTGTGTTGTGATATAATGTCTGATTTTAAAATTTATTACACCAATAGACAGCTTAATGGATCTTAGTTTCGTCACAGTATATACTGCAACATATCTTTTGACATAAAAGTATTTAAACTAGAACTGCCACTATCATGGCGTGAATACCCCCGCATACCACTTTGTCAGAATCAACAGTGGCCATTTAGAGCTCAAGGACAACCTCCCTGCCAAATCTGAGGTTACTAAGCCAGTGCAGCATTGCTAAGTTATGTATTCTACATGCTTCAAATGTGAAAATGTCAAAATCAATACATTGCGGACAGGACATTCTTTAGCAATTGAGAAGAAAAGCTTTTTTTTTTGTCAAGGTCCCTGTGACCTTGACCTTTGACCCAGTGACCTCAAAATCAATAGGGGTCACGTTATAGTCATGATCAACATCCATGCCAAATATGAAGACTGTGGGTCAAAGGAATCTTAAGTTAATGGGTGGACAAACTTTTGAAGTCAAAGTCCCTGTGACCTTGACCTTTGACCTGGTGACCTCAAAATCAATAGGGGTCATCTACTAATCATGACTAACCTCCATGCCAAATATGAAGACTGTGGGTCAAAGGAATCTTAAGTTATAGGGCGGACAAGCTTTTTTGAAGTCAAGGCCCCTGTGACCTTGACCTTTGACCTGGTGACCTCAAAGTCAATAGGGGTCATCTACTAATCATGACTAACCTCCATGCCAAATATGAAGACTGTGGGTCAACGGAATCTTAAGTTATTGGGCGGACAAGCTTTTTGAAGTCAAGGCCCCTGTGACCTTGACCTTTGACCTGGTGACCTCAAAGTCAATAGGGGTCATCTACTTATCATGACTAGCCTCCATGCCAAATATGAAGACTGTGGGTCAAAGGAATCTTAAGTTATTGGGCGGACAAGCTTTTTGAAGTCAAGGCCCCTGTGACCTTGACCTTTGACCTGGTGACCTCAAAGTCAAAAGGGGTCATCTACTAATCATGACTTGCCTCCATGCCAAATATGAAGACTGTGGGTCAAAGGAATCTTAAGTTATTGGGCGGACAAGCTTTTTGAAGTCAAGGCCCCTGTGACCTTGACCTTTGACCTCAAAATCAATAGGGGTCATCTACTTATCATGACTTACCTCCATGCCAAATATGAAGACTGTGGGTCAAAGGAATCTTAAGTTATTGGGCGGACAAGCTTTTTGAAGTCAAGGCCCCTGTGACCTTGACCTTTGACCTAGTGATCTCAAAATCAATAGGGGTCATCTACTTATCATGACTAACCTCCATGCCAAATATGACGACTGTAGGTCAAAGGAATCTTACGTTATTGGGCGGACAAGGTTTTTGAAGTCAAGGCCCCTGTGACCTTGACCTTTGACATAGCGACCTCAAAATCAATAGGGGTCATCTACTAATCATGACTAACCTCCATGCCAAATATGAAGACTGTGGGTCAAAGGAATCTTAAGTTATAGGGCGGACAAGCTTTTTGAAGTCAAGGCCCCTGTGACCTTGACCTTTGACCTGGTGACCTCAAAGTTAATAGGGGTCATCTACTAATCATGACTAACCTCCATGCCAAATATGAAGACTGTGGGTCAACGGAATCTTAAGTTATTGGGCGGACAAGCTTTTTGAAGTCAAGGCCCCTGTGACCTTGACCTTTGACCTGGTGACCTCAAAGTCAATAGGGGTCATCTACTTATCATGACTAGCCTCCATGCCAAATATGAAGACTGTGGGTCAAAGGAATCTTAAGTTATTGGGCGGACAAGCTTTTTGAAGTCAAGGCCCCTGTGACCTTGACCTTTGACCTGGTGACCTCAAAGTCAAAAGGGGTCATCTACTAATCATGACTTGCCTCCATGCCAAATAAGAAGACTGTGGATGAAAGGAATCTTATGTTATTGGGCGGACAAGCTTTATATAGTCAAGGCACCTGTGACCTAGACTTTTGACCAAATCACCTCTAGGGGTCATCTACTTATCATGACTAACTTCCATGCTAAATATGAAGACTATGGGTCAAAGGAATCTTAAGTTATTGGGCGGACAAGCTTTTTGAAGTCAAGGCCCCTGTGACCTTGACCTTTGACCTAGTGATCTCAAAATCAATAGGGGTCATCTACTTATCATGACTAACCTCCATGCCAAATATGACGACTGTAGGTCAAAGGAATCTTACATTATTGGGCGGACAAGGTTTTTGAAGTCAAGGCCCCTGTGACCTTGACCTTTGACATAGCGACCTCAAAATCAATAGGGGTCATCTACTAATCATGACTAACCTCCATGCCAAATATGAAGACTAAGGGTCAAAGGAATCTTAAGTTATTGGGCGGACAAGAAAAAACCGACGGACAGCCGGACAGACGGACAGCCGGACGGACAAGCTGATTCCAGTATACCCCCCTTACAACTATGTTGTGCGGGGGTATAATTAACTGTCAAACCTACCACATGTTAGACCGTTTTACATACGATTTACACAGTGAGATAATAAGGCAACCGGTTATCTTTACTCAAAAAACTACCGATAAAAAGAGCCTGTAGTCTGCTAGTTTGGAAAGTGTTTATCGGTGTATTTCTGTTCTTAAGGTTAAATACAGAGAACATTTTATTTCACAAATATACTAGAAAAAAAAAACATTTACTCTTATTATTTCTTAATTTTGATAACATAAAGGACGTTTAAAATGAGTATTTTAATGAGGGACAAATCATCATGAATCTTTAATGGGTGAATCATCACTAAAGAGGGGATAGTTGTTATGAGGTGAATCATCATTTGAGCTTATTGTTATCAATATATATAGGAAGTGGCTAGCCGAACAACATGCAACTTGACACTTTGATCAAGATTAGAATCTACAATGCTTGCATTACCTTCGTATTAATTTTTATTTTACAAAATGGCGAGCATCTTTATTAAAGTGAACACAAAAGGATAAACGCGGGGACTTGGTTAAAATCCTCGTTTAAAAACACAAAATAACATATATGCATTTTCGACTTACATATAATTTTGAAAAGTGCCATACAGCTAGCCAATACAGTGTGTCCTGGCTAGTCGTACGTGATTCATGGTGATTCACGTATGGCTAGAACTTTTGGCAAGCCACTTCCAAATACCGTATATAATAAACTGGTGTTGGAATATTTATATGGAAAATTATCAAAGCTGGGACACCATATATCTTGATCTAGCAAAGGCTTTCGATAAAGTCCCACATGTACGTTTATTAAATAAAGTGTCATCTTTTGGAATCAAGGGAAATGTATTGATGTGGATAAAAAGTTTTCTTTGCAATAGAAGACAGTGTGTATCAATTAAAGGTAGTAGTATGTCATTGTGGAAAGCAGTGGATAGTGGAGTGCCGCAAGGTAGTGTGTTGGGGCCGGTACTTTTTATCATGTATGTGAATGATATCACAGATAATGTCAAATCAAGCATTAAAATATTTGCTGATGATACAAAATTGTATACACCAACTAGCAAGTCGGATGTCCTCCAAAATGATATTGACTCAATTATGAACTGGGCAGTAAAATGGGAAATGAACTTTAATGTTGATAAATGTAAGGTGATGCATTATGGTCATGCAAATCCTCAAAAACAGTATGTAATATGAATAACAAGACTTTATCGGATACTCAAGAAGAATGTGATCTAGGAGTTATTTTTGAAAAAGATCTTAAATTTAGCAAACATATTTCTACTAAGATTAATAAGGCAAATAGTATTTTAGGCCTTATTAACCGGTCTTTTGAATTTTTAGATGAATACACCTTTGTGAAATTGTATACAGCTTTGATTCGTCCTCATGTTGAATTTGCAAATGTTGTGTGGAATCCATATTTAATAAAAGATATATCAAGTCTAGAAAAACTTCAACAAAGAGCAACAAAACTAGTTTCATCATTAAAAGATCTGACATATATTGACCGTCTTAAAAAGCTTAAACTGCCAAGTCTAATACATCGCAGATTAAGAGGGGACATGATTCAGACTTTCAAAATAGTAAAAGACTTAGATGACTGTGTTTTTGAAAAAAAATTTTGTTATTCGGCATCAACAAGGGGACATAATTTAAAACTAGAAATGCCTCGTAGTAGAACAACTCATTGCCTACATCAAGATATGATATTTGTTGTCTACACTTACATTTTTAAGGTGTAATTTTGTTGAAATTTCATATCATATACAAGTGTCCATGTTATTTAAAAAAATAGCTTTAATGGTGTACATATAGACTGTATTTTGGTTCAAAACACAATGATAGGGAAATGTATATAATTTTGGGTATGGTTGATTATATCTTAGTGAAAATGTATCAGTGTTCTAGATAATTATTTTTACTCAAGAGTCAATACTCTCTATTTTTTATACTTCAGAGTAAACTGCCAGTTTTTGGCCAAATGAGGGAGTAATATTGACTCTCAGTTTTAAGAACTTGGGAGTCAATTTGCCGCATATTATGATACATTATATTTATACAGTACAGCCTGAAAAAAAATCAAAAACTGCTCTCAGTTTTATAATTTATCAGAAATATTGTAGCATGGCAAGGTATTATTTATATTTAGGTTTAAGGCATATTATAAGAACTTGAACCATTTTTATGTGAAATGAAGTAAATGTAGACATGCAAACAGTTGTGACCCACACTGAATTCTTTTACCTTGTGGGCTAGTAATCAACCATTAATGTACCAAATTATAAGTTGCGATTACTGTTTAATTTTAAATTTAAAGGACAGTAAATTATCTTACATATAAATGAAATAAAATATTAAGGTGTGATGTATAACTTAGTTTCATTGTATTTTTTTTTCTTTAAAAAAATAGGAGCTAGGTACACAATAAAAGGTTGCAATTAATTTACTTTTTACTGTTCAAAGTTAGACTTTTGGATGTTGAGAACCCGTTCTGTGGCCCATTTTCCACCCATTTTGTTGTTACAACACAAGGCACATTTCAAACGCACTACATCGGTCGTATCTGACGTTACAGACAGCCACGGAAAACCTTTACTAGAAGCATCTTATGTTGCTGTCGTATGAGTTTCTTCGCTCTTGCAAACAATAGTCAAAATTGCTTCAATAATTGGCTGAATTACACACTGAGAAGACACTGGGCTTGTTACACGGTAGAATGTGTGGATTTTTCGTTGTTTGGGCTTCGAACAAGACATTATCAATGTATACAACTTGATAATTTGATAAAATTGACAAATTTTTTTCGTCTACTTCAATAAGGTGACAGACGCTTGATTTATCTTATGTACATCTATTACCGAGCGTCTCAGTGATACAAAGTCGACTGGTTTGCAATTATAAACCCAGGCTGAGAAGATAACACACCTTTATAGAACAGTACGCTAACCAGTCAGTCATTTTTATCGGTGTCAATGTAAACATTGCCTACGCCAAATTTGTTTCACTAAATGCGTAAACTGTAATTAGTATGCGTAAATATACGCCAAAATGATGACAAAGCTGGCGTATCCCGAGTATTTGCTTGCGTAAATGACGCCGATACGCACGCTATCTCTAATGCTGTGTATATTGTATTCATGATAAAAACAGCACTTTTATAGGATAAAACATTTATTTTTAGTATAATTGGGCAATATTTGGGTATATTTGGGCAATATTTGGGTATATTTGGGCAATATTTGGGTATATTCGGGTATTTCGTGCTGCCCGCCAAGGGTGAGAAAATTATTTTATGATTATACATATGACCATTATTGGCAAAACAAATGTGCCGAACGCCTGTGGTGGATAAAGTATGTTGTAATGAGATAAGAGATGAACAATTCAACGATGTTTTTCCTCCTTCATGTCAGCTTCCTGCTAGCATTTTTTACAAACTATCCGGATATCATGCCTATCCGAAATTGGTTTAAATAATAAAACTTTAAAATATGTCACAATTAAACAATGTCTATAAAAGGTATTGACTTCAATGACAAAAATGAAAAGTTTATTTTAAACGATAAGAAAATGGATTATTACGTTTTACATAAGAATTTAAACACCGTCCTTCTTTAATTAACACTTTTTTCTTGTGACGCAAATTGAAGTTACTGCCCTTGGTCACGCGCACCTAGCGAGATATCTCGAGAGTTTGTTGTCAACAACAAGTGACAGAAAAGTTAAACAGGCACAAAGTCGCTGAATTTAGTCACAAATACACAAAAAATGGATGATTTTCAAACTCCAGAAGAGGTATATATGTTTCTTTTAACATTAACTGTCATTGATTTTGGCACGATTTATAAATTTCTTTCAATTTCCACAATTTTCAGTGACCAAAATTTATTCATGAGTCATGTGCATGTTCAGACTTCATGTATTTCAGAACAAAATATTTAATTAATTTGCTATTTGATATAGAATAGAAGATCATAAATGCTTAACGATTGGACCGGTGGCAATGAAAATTATATTACATTTACAGTTCTTTTAATTCTTGGAAATTATAGTAAATTTTTATTCTATTATTGGATGAGAAATCCAAGAAAATGTTCTAAAAATGGTGTAAATAATAGTATTTTAAAGTAATAATACATCCATTGGTCTATCGTTACCATGGGGCTCCGGGTCCCACCACAAGACTACCATAGGTAGTGGGTAGTAGGAGCCTTAACATTTGATATGTAATTTGGTAAGAATCAGGGTCAGCTCAGCCCTATTAAACGTACTCGACCCCCGAGTCAGCACGGCCCTTTTCTAACTCGCCACGGGTCAACTCGGCCAACTTTTCAATTGTATATATTAATATATTGGTTTATTATTACCAATTAACCACGTGTATGTTCAGGGCAAGGTGCCGATTAATCAGGTGATAATTATGTTTGACGCAATCATTTAAATTTGATAAAAAACCACCTGCAACAAATTAGAAGCTTATGATAATAAATAAACATAATGATTACTTAACAAACAAAAAGCATCAAAGGAAACACATTTGTATTATATCAATGTTTAAGGAATCTGCAAGAAAAACATAACGAATTTCTTCTGAATACACTTTAATTCTGCAGAAGTACAATGTACAATTATATAATAATAAACCAGATATCTCTTATTTTGTCATTGATAACATTTTTTTGGCCTTGACAACATGCAAGTAATCAAAAAAAAGTTAAATAAATATGTTTAATTTTTTTTAAAGAAGGCCAAGTTGACCCATGCCAAGTTGGTATAGGGCTGAGTACACTCTTTACCATTTGGTAAATAGACCAATAAGTAAGTCTAGTTGGTCAGAATTGAGGCTTTTTTTACCTTCAGCCTGACACCTAGTGAGGCTAGTCCAATATCAGATGTTATGGGTTTGTTATAGTTTAAGATGATCACTTTGCCAAGAAGTACAAATAACTTGAAGCAATGTCGTAATTACAGTATAGTACTTAAGTCATCACCAAAGCATTACTGTTTTCCAAAAAGGGTCAGAATGAGCGAAAAGACAAATTTGTGCAAATTTGTGTGGCACAAATATATTTCTTAATATAAAAACAAAAAATAATGGTGGTTATTCGTAGTATATTTAATTTGTAAATTACAATGTAGCTTTAAAAGGTATGTTTACATGATCTAAATATCTCCGATACATATGCTTCTATTTCTATTAGCAGCAATGGATTATATGCTTTTGTTTCTATAGTATATGTATACAGCACGTTTTCAATTTCAATTTTTGAACAGTATAATGACAATATCAAATTTATAGAAAAACTCAAAAGAGTATTGTGTAATGTATTTCAGTATTCAATATTTTTCATGTAACAAGGCTTTTGTCATCTGAACTGTTTACAAAATCAATATCATTTTAAGATTAAGGACATCTAATTTTTGTCAAATAAGACATATATTTATGTCCATTTTTTGTAAACTTTATCTGCAAATTGAGTTTACCTCATTTGTTTCTCAAATCTATACATGCCCAGGGCCAAAACACCATTTTTGTGAAAGGCCTCAGCCTTTTTGGGGGGGAAAATATGCGTGATTTGGCATACTTTGGGAAAAGGTATCTCAAATTTAACACAAACTTTTAACAAGTTCTTCAAAATAAAAAAGCAAAAAGCACTGGGAAATACTAATAGGTAGTCAGAAGACCCTAATTCAACACCATCATTTAATTTTGTTCTATATTCTATAAGAAATTTTCAAAAGACTGGGGAATTTTGAGGACCAAACTGGGGAAAAAAGAGGCTAGTTTGGTTGGGGAAGCAGCCTATATTCGGCCTCTACAAAGAAGGGTAAATTTTTGGCCCTGATGCCTGAAATGGAAATTCCTACATGTAGGTACTAGCAAAACCAGAAGTACATGATTGTATAAAATATGGTTAAGTTGATTATATTAGCTGAGAATTATATTCTTCCCAAAACCACTTCATTCATTACATATGTACAGTACTTCATAGTGACCCCCACCCCCGGCAATATAACAAAAAATGCTATACAATTGACACAGTGTCAATTTTATAGCATTTTTTATATTGCCGGGGGATATTCATTATGCCTCATTACCTAAAGAATCTTCTTTTTTTCAATTTTAAGATTTTAAGTATTTTCAACAGCAGTGTCACTTTTCTAGTGTCAAAACAGTGTCTATCTATTTGAAAGACCCATGTCAAAGTAATAAAATCTACATTTTCTTTCAAATTGAGAGAAAAACATTCCGACTACATTTTCATTTTGATTTGGGCGGTTTTAAGACCAAATTTTATCTACTATAAACCATTGAATTGTATAGTTATATACTATTGTATAAAATTTGCACTAGGCGTGTCTTCATTATTATTTTTATTTTAACTTTCAGACAGCATTTGTTGTTGATGAAGTTACAAACATAATCAAAGAGGTAAGTTGACCAGTTACGAAAATACAATGTATGTGTATTGTAATGTAAAGTGCATCTAATAACCTACAAAAAAGTTAAAATTGTTTAAATATTATTTCTTTCATAAATACTTGAAGTTGCAAGTTAATACTGTATGTTTTGTGTACTTTAGGTAAAAGTCATAAACATTGATGTTTGAAAATTACATTTCAAGTTATGGAATATGCAGAATTTCATGAATTCTTGTCACTTTTTTCAGGCTATTGAAGGTGCCATCGGAGGAAACGCATACCAACATAACAAAGTTAATCAGTGGACTTCCAATGTTGTTGAACAATGTCTTAATCAGCTAACTAAACTAGGAAAACCATTCAAATATATTGGTAAGAATTTAGTAGTTTTAACAGACTTTGTTATATTTGGTTTATGAAATGTTGGAAGCTATAAGCTTATTTATATACACACTCTTGGATCTGTTCCTAGTACTGAGCAATGACCGTAAGATTTCTTTGGTAAAGGAAACATCAGTTTGCCCTGAATACGATTTGTTTTAGTATACCCAATTTTTTATGTACAATATTTTACTATGTATGTTTTGCAATAATACGCATGACCTTGGATTTAATGTCTTGTCTAAAAGGTTATAATTATGTAACTTTTAAAAGTAAAAGTGAGTGAAATTGCAACTCACAATTGACCTCCAACCATTAGTGGCTTGGTTAATGTTTGATCTTTCTTTTTTTATAGAAATGATATTGTATATTTTCAGTTACATGTGTAATTATGCAAAAGAATGGTGCCGGTCTTCACACAGCTAGTTCATGTTTCTGGGACAATACAACGGATGGTATGTTAAATTTGTTTAACCATTGAACTGTTATCTGATAACTATTATGTGAGTGTGCTAATCTGTTACGATATATCACTGGAGTTGATTGCACAAAGTTGTATTTACATGAGCCTGCAGAGCTTTATGCAATCAGCGAGAATGATACAATCTACCAGAATGGTATGCTTATAAATGTAAATTTAAATTTATGATATATACCTTCTGTAAAATGTATAAAGAAATTGTGAACAAAACAGATGGAATCTCCTCTGTCCTTGTCTGTAAGAGGACCACTTATGGTCTATATTCTACTAAGAATATATGTGTTCTTTTTTGTTTCCTTTAAAAAAAAATTAAGAAAAAAAAAGGAATAGAAATAGAACTGCAATGTTATTTTGTGATTATATTAGCATAGTTTAAGTTTAGACTAAGACTTTGTAATAGATTGTCAGGTCATTTTAGGCCTTGAATTTAACATTGAAATGTTAATTACACAGACATATACACACATAATATTTTACATTATATTTTATATTACAGGAAGTTGCACAGTGAGGTGGGAGAATAAAACCATGTATTGTATTGTGTCAGTATTCGGTCTCGCCATCTGATCACCATGTCAAAATTTACCAGCTTCCGTTGTTTCCATATAGACAGATTAAGACTATTCCATATAACAGCGCTATAAGAAACTATTTTACTGTTCAATAACATTTGATATTGCCATGTTTGTGATAAATATAACAACAAGATAAGAACTCTAGGTGACTTATAGTTTAAGTATAATAAATGATTACCTGGATGCTTTTATTGAATTGAATCTTTTTTTTATTGCTGCCTGTTTGACTGAAATTAATTTACAAGGTAATTTTCAAACATCTAAACATGGCATTAGATTTGACATTTTTCATGTTGTTATTTCATGTATTTATATTAAAGTATTTTAAAAGCAGCTGTGTTTTCAATCAAATTTCATTGAGATGAGTTTGTGCAAATTCAGGGCTTTAATGAATACAGTTATTGGAAACAGTGTGAAAAATTCTTAAATCCAGATTCCTTTATAAAATAAATAAAAACATAATAAACTACAAAATCAAAAGAATAAAAGTTTTGTTATGATATAGGAATATCAAATATTAAAAATCATCATTTCATTATTTACTGAAGGAAACCATTTTTTTTTATTTTTGTTCACTTTCGATAATTTTTGTAATTCTTGACTGAAATTATTACAGTTTCATGACCTGTAAATTGTTCACTGAAAAACATGTATACTGTTACGTACATACGTGTGTCTTTCTTCCTGCATTTTTTGTTTTATGTGTGTAAATTGTATGAAATATTTATAGTTGATATATACTACTATTTGAAAGAGGTGTGATGAGTGATTAAGGGTATTTTCCTGTGATTAGACAGTATTTCTCTTGTATTCCATTGATATTACTTACTGTAATACATAAATCCTTTTTATATGTAACATCTCAAAGAATAATTGTGTAAGTGATAAATAGTTCCCTTTTTACTATTATATAAAACCCCGGCAGTTATCAAAGAAGTTAATTGAATATTACATCATAAATTCTGTCATAAAATCAAATAAAAAATATAAATCCCGTAATCCTTTAGAAACTATTTTAATCCTATTCTGAACAAATGTGTAAATACATGTTTTCTTTTTCTGAAACTAATAGTTATGTTTTTACATAAATCAAATTGTTTTGTATGTTCATATGACAAATTCATTCTAAGTTCATTGTTTTTTTTCTTTTTTTCCTGTCATCTGTGATTTATTAAGAAGTCTAGTTTATTAGGTTTGTAATATACAGTTTTAAACTTATTTATACATTTGTTAACATGTATTATTTTGCATTTTGAAAATTGGCTGTATTTAGAACTTTTAAATGAACAAAAAAGGAATATCCTAATTTTAGTTTAATGATACTAGTAATTTACAGAGTTTCCCCCCTTAGATGGTATTTGAAGTAATGTGTAAATACATATTTTATTCAAGTTAAAAGGTGAAGGACATTTCTATTATCTAAATTGCATTTACCATAATAAATCTAAACTATACAAAGGGAAGATTAGAAAGTTAATATATTATCTAAGTAGAAGAAAATGTTTCAATTATCACCAAAGCATTCTAGAATGAAAAATGTTAATGACTTCAGAGATTAAATAAATTTGTGAAAAAAATATTTGAATTCCTTTTCATTGTGAGGATTATTGGTTATGATTTAAGTAGAGAGTATAAGATTATCTTTTATAGCCTATTCTAACATTCTGTTTATTACAAATTATGATAAGATATTTTTTGTGGCAATCAAAGGCCTGATGAACAGTGTAAAAGATGATGATTATACCATTTCAAAATATTACATTGATGGTTGTGTCTGTCTAGGCATATAGTCATATTTCTGTCATTCATTTACATTTTAAAGGATGTCCCATTTATTTGTCAAAAATTTTACAGGAAATAATAGAAGATCAATACTTGAAAAGGATCTGTACGTGCTCTTATAAAACGTTCAAGATCTGCTATCCGACCCGAAAAGACAAACCAAATAAAATTCGACTGACATTATCTAAGAGATACTATTTTTAATTAAACTTTAATCACTTGCAGGTAGAATGTAGCTAATCTAATATAATTTGAAAAAGCCAAAAGCAGAAATGTTGTGAGCGGGCTACCCAACATACGGACAAATGTATACATTTCTCTTTGCAATATGTAAAAGTGCATAAAGCTTAACTTCAATAAGAGTGCAAGTTGGGCTTTGAACTTCCGGAATTGACGATAAGTTCACAGTGTTCGTCATCTGTGAACCAATGTGCACGCCAATTGCTTAGATATTTGGACAAAACCCTTGCACCCTATTCTATACAGTTTAATTCTCTCCATGTAGAACTTTTGCGTTTTTCACTGTCTGACCATGTCTTATGTGCAATACTATCAGCAATATGCGGCGAAAAAGCCGCACATGTAACGTCGCTAGCATAATTCTGCCCATTCCTGATAGAATCCCAGTAACTACTGCTCATTACCTTACATATTTAGACCTAGTCATAAAGCGACCAAGCTGCCCAATTACAAAATGCATAGAAGCTATCATAATAGCCATACCCGTTATTTTCGCTAGATGGTGCGCAGTGACTCTCTTTTGAGACTTAGCATCGGATATTGCCCTCTTTAGATTGTGTTATTTTTAAATACCTGTTTAAAGATAGAAATAATGACCTACCAATATTATCGTCTGAGTGGGGACCCAAACCGACTTTTTGTTATAAGTTATAAAAATAGATGCGTCAAGGGAAGTCGTAACCAAATCAGAATTAACCGACCAACCGTCTTTCTCATCCTTTCCGCCACAGTGTCCCCAGCAAGATAACTAACCTAAACGAAAGGGGTATACGAAAAACAGAGTAGGTCTTCCCGTGGATAATGGTTTAAAAAGAGAACAGAACCATGAGAACGTAATATGTCCGATGTTATGTGTAGTTCACATATATCGTAGGTAGAATTATTTACACCAATGGACAATGATTATCTCAATTAAAGTAAACCACAATTCCATGTCAGTTGATGGAAATACTTCTATTATCACAGGATCTTTTATTGTATGTTTTATTAGCGTAGCTTAAATTTGTGTAGAAATGCAAAAATTGCGTAAATGAAAGAAAATGACAACATTTCGACGAACATTAGCTATGCTTCTAAAAAGTCGTGTCTCACAAAGAAGGATAACTACTATAACTTACTTGACATATGTTAACACATTTACTTCCCTTCATTAGTAAGTTTAAGGTACTAGTAGTTTTTTAAAATCAGCCGGAAATGATAGTCTCTGCCCACTATATCGTGGACTTGAACTCAACCAGAGCAGGACCTGGGTCCTAGAAGGTCTTCCTTCGACAACACCCGCCCCAAGCCGTGCCAGTTGCACTCCTAGCTCTCGACCCCCAGTAGTGGTCGGGAGTTAGGAGTACCCCCGACTTCACGATGGGCCAACATACAGATGGCAGAGGCCACAGTTCCATATATATATTTCAAGTTCAACTCCTAAGTATGCTAGGGATCTTAAGTCCCTAAAGTCCCCCGTATTGCAGGAAATTTATGTATATTTGTAAAATGTTTTGTATAGACTTTTAACTATGAAATTGATCGTCATTATCTATCAAATCAGCAACAAATGTGATACCTTTTTGAGATAAATTATTATAGAAAATCGTTGAACCTCGGACCTTCACTGTTGGATTGAACCAGATTGGTTGCCTAGTTTTGGAGTTATTGCCCTTTGTTTATTGTACACTGTGAACTTTGTCCGGAATAACTCTAAAACCACTGACATTTTGTAGGTAGATATAAGTGCAGTGCACAAAGAACAATAAATCTGCCTTGCCTTATTTTGGAGTTATCGCCCTTTGTTTATTTTTACACTTAAATTCTTAAGCCAGAACCCACGACGGAAAGAATATCTCGATGAAGACTGCATAGAAATCCAAAACAACAAGGGGTAATATAGAGGAGAGTCAGGAGGGTAGAATCACATTTCGATTTTCTTAAAAAAAGGATTGAATTTTATATAAATGTTTGAAAAGATGAAAACTTACCCTGCGATCGGCCTATTTTTCCAGTCACATCTGATGTTATGCTTCACATCTGGTGCAGCGGAAATTCACATATCATTTTTACCGATGCTCATTTTTGAGATTCATATGGGGTTCCACCCCCGTGATAACTTGAGAACTATAAAAGGTATCAACTTGAAATAGATCTTACTGAGTAGAAGTGCAGTGAATAAGAAACCATAATCCTCTCTTCCCAAATTTTGGAGTTATTGCCCTTTGTTCATTTTTGCACTTGAACTTTGTCCAGGACATAACTTGAGAACTATGAAAGGTACACATAAAACTATGTAGCTAGATAGATCTCACGGAGAAAAAGTGCAGAAATCTCAGAGAGAAAGAACGTATTGCCTTAAATGAAGTCATGAAAACTTCAAATCCAAACTTTAATTTATCTTATTGATGTAGGACAAATAACCAAAAAAAAAACATTTCCAAAAAAGTCTATAATCTTCTGCATTCCTCCTATGTGCAAAATTATTAACTAAAAAACAAGTTTTCTGACAAGCGCGTGTCGGGTGTGACAATTTCTAGTTGAATTATCTGTTGCATACTGTTCTGTTTTGAGTGCTCTATTTGATTTATAAATATGAAGTTTTTTAATGTGTTAGGCCTTTGTTACTTTAGTTTTAAGTGTAGATATGTTTTTCCTTTCAAATGATGTGTGATTTTCATCACAGTTGCATGCATACATCTAAGCAAGTTATCATGCAAGTTATCAATTCAGTAAATAAACGTCCTTAAAACCGAGAACAAAAATGTAATCATTGTATGTCTCATTCAATTTGACAAATCTTTTCAAAAATCCCCTACCCCCGCATTTTTAAGGCAACGTTTGAAGGTATACATGTATTGATTCTTATGTCCTGATCAATTATACACTTATATCAATATACCCAGTAGTATGGTATAATCTTGCATTTAATCTAGGCTTATTTATGGAGACTACATATATATTCATGACGCTGACCTTTCACCACCAACGTCAGACTATATTTTATCATCATTTTCCTCCACAGTTTAATGACCGAGAAGATTTGATTGTGTGTAATAACAAACACTAATATATAATTATAATTCCGGAGCCACTTAAAGATTCGTTTGATGACGTCATGTTGTTGTTGAGGAGATATAGAAGGACTTTATCATTAAACAATTAAACGATGAGTAAAAGTTACATTAAAAGTACATTATAAACAATTTTCCACATCAAAGACAACTGCTATACTTTTTTCCAAATGTAGTAAGAATAATAAATTGATGGTGTGTATTGACTTAAAGTAAATCAACCCCTGCTCGATATTTCATAGTTTAAAAAAAGATAAATAGAGGATATTGAATGAGTGTAAGTTCAATACTGCATTTATTGCACGAGTGGAATAAAATTATATGATGCGAGCCTATGGCCGGTGAAGAGCATTTTTTTAAGAAATGGATTTTTGGAATCTGTACATATTTTGCTTTCAAATGAGACTAATTATACTTTTGGACACAAATTTGAAATAAATGGCCCCTGTCTCTGGTACTAATTTGTTCTGTTCTGTTCTGTTCTTTTCTTAGAGTTTTAAATGCGATGGTGTCGCTCAGTGTCACTTTTCAAAGGAGAAACACACATTGCGTGTATGTGTGAGGATATACTTATACCCATTTTTAAAGCTTCATGCCTCAAGATGAGTCAAAATATTTCAATAAAATAAAACTTTAGAAAAATGTACTAAGATGTAAGGAAAAATAAAAAGTTTCAAGATTCAAGTAATATTTTAGATATTGTGTGCGATTAATAACTGATTTTCCAGTATTTACAACTATATTTCTACTGCGTTACTAACGCAGTAAAAGCTATTTATGCATATTTTCACCACTTTTTGATAATTTACGTGGTTTGTAAGTGCCATTGATAATGTGTAAGTTGCTCCCTTTTTGGTTACCTCACAATATTACACATTCAAATACATTTTCAAAATTTTCTTGAAAATCTGGAGGCGTGCTGCTTTAAAAAGGGGGACTCAAATTAACGTAAAAATTACCAATTACATGTAATTATCAAGTTCGGCTTAAACAATGCCTTTGGCTAACAAACAATAATACGTATTACTTACTAGTATCATATACATATATATAATACATCATGTAATACATGTTTAACAGCAAGTTAATTTGATAACTTATCTTATCATATATTCATACACATATATTCCTCTAGATATTGGTCAATCGTACTTAAGTTTGCATTTTTCTTAATTATTAGATGACATTTAATCTTACAACAGTAGATTAGTATGATGGCTGATTTGTTACATGTCGTATTTTAGCCCCACAACAAAATGACGACTGTGTCGTACATTTGCTCCGCGGGGCGTTGGGCAAAAACACAGACACCGCTTTGTCGTATGTTCGTGTTTTCGTCCAGCGCCCAGGAGTGAAAATACGACATGACACAAATCAGCTACCCATACTAATCTATCTCCAAACCTACTGAAGCTTGGGAATGGGTTGAAAGTATAAAATTCACACACTTATTTGAAAGCATTACAGGTCATTTTCCAAGGCCAATAACTCTTATGCAGATTTTGACAGGGCTATATGGCTCTTTTTGAACACAGAACATTTTTAAATTTTACATTATTCCCTGTGGGCTGCGGCCGACGAGGAAAGTTTGCTAGACTGTTTGAGCCCTTAACACAGAGTTACGGCTTTGCCGGCATAACTCCCTTATCAGGGCTACCTCCTTTTCATATTTGTCTCAGGTTACTCTAAATTAAGGTTCTCATTGGCCGCCTTACAGTGACTTTTTTGGCTCCAAATTTATATCTTTGGCTAAAATTTGTGTTTCAAAATTAAATAATTAATGATTTTTTAACTCGAAATATGCTCCAAGGCAAGTACTACTTCAAGGCCCGCATAACAATTTCTTTTATTTCTCAAAATTCCTTTTTTGTTGAACTTTAAAAATCCCAAAACATGTACTCATTGGCTAATTAAATGACCGTCTGTCAGCTGTTGCTTTTTGGCAATTAGTGAAGTGATACTGATTTATCATTTTGTATGGAATTTGAAATACTTCTTTGTTTATATTATGCTACATTTATGACTAACTATTTCACATTTATCGCTAATTTCCTCAGGTAACAATTAAGCATCTGACATGATTTAAAATCATTATTTAGACGTTATAAAACTCGTATTTGTTCTTTTTAACGTAATAAAACATGTATTCGTTTCTGAGACATATTGTGCCTTTAATCGTCTTATCACTTAGTAAACATTTTTATAATCTTATTTACGTTCAAGTTAGTTTTTTTTGTGTTGTTAATTTTGATCAGGAAGTTTGTATCAAAGTCGTAATAAACATTACAAACCTTAATGTTGCATTGTAAACTAGTTATCTAGTTGTATCGATTCATTAACCTATAATTTAGATTTGTACAATATAATATATCAATAGACATCTATCTATCTGTACGGAGAAACAAGTGCCCTACAATATTTGGTTTGCAATTATCCACATGAGTTAATTCATAAACAAAACTTAATAACAGTTTAAGGATGAACTTCCGAAATCCGGTTGGTTTTGTTTCGTTTCCGATGACTCGCTTTTTTACAATGAAGTAGATCACGCTCTACTTAATATAATAGCAACAAATATAAAATCACGCTCCGTTCATTGTGGTATTGCAACCATGGCGACTGTAAGCAATAATTGTTATGCGGACCTTCATATTTACTCAGAATCAGTGGGACCCGAGCATATTTATAATTCTCTAAAACGGGACAAAATACCCCATACGCCGGTTACATTAAGCTGGTGGGCATTTCATCGCAGGCCATTTTTTCAAAACTCGAAATTCGCTTTTATTGTTGGACTTGTTGTTATACTAGTGCTTGCTGCATGTAGTGTATCTATTGGATATTTCATAGGTAAAAATGCATGTGAAAAACGTGATAGAAATAATTTCCATCAACATGACGAGTCTCGCTTCACGGAAACAACACAAATATCAACTTTTACTGATATTGTTTCCATACAAAACACAAACAAAATTACATCTCAAAAGAAAGCTACGACAACTGAAACAATTCGAACATTTAAAACTAAAACATCTGATAAAACAACAACTAAACCGAGGCCGCCCATTAGAGGTAAACTTTCTATATGGAGAATATTGTATACATAATATATATATAGTTGCCGCTTGTTCAAAATGTATAAATCTACATGTATATCTCTGTTGCCTGCATTTAAAACATTGTGTCAGAATAATTTCAAAATGCGTGTAAGAAAGGCATATGTTGGTATAAACCATATTGAGCCAATAGCAAATGCACAGACGCTTGGGGTCAGATCCTGCCCCCAACGTGATACGCCCCTGTAAACTCTCTGTCAAAAATATTTTAATATTTAAACACGAACAACGATACAACTGGTTTTCGAACAATTTTTACATATCTGAAACTTGATGGTGAAAGGTAATTTTTTCAGATACGCAAAAATTGTTCGAAAACCAGTTGTATCGTTGTCACTGCGGTATACCGTACCCCGGATATTGCTCGATATTATGAGGACTTTCATCCCATTTCGCGACTTTGAACGGGGAACGAAGGTAAGTTCAGCGACGATATTTTCCAAACTAATGGCTATTCCATTTATCTAAACGGGTTTTATATATCTAGAGGTATTTTTGTAACTCTAAAAGACGTAAAAGTATTACAGGTATTTGTAAAATTGATTAAACTACCCCTAAACGATCCGCTGCTCACTAGAAAATACTGACCGCGATACTGTAGAATCGTTAGAAATTATTATATTACAAATATAAAAAAATTGAATAGAGTTATTTTTTTATTCACAATCCAAGTATGCCTTGTCCAAATTTCAGGCAAAAAGTGTGAAAGTTCAAAAAGATACAGGCCAAAAAAGATACAAGAAAGTGTACCGAGTATTGATTTTAAGTGTACAGGGTATTGCAAAATAGCCAAACTTTAGTGTACAGAGTATTGCAAAACAGAATGAGCACATTAATATGGAAACTCGATATTTTTGTCTAATTTTCACGTCTGGTTATCGATTCAATTTCATTTTTCTGATAATGTACTGTTTATATGATATTTATTTAAATATTTCAGATTCAACAGTGCATTTTCAGTGTTATTACTGTTCTTTTCATACGGGCAAATACAGAGATTTAATTTCCAATTTGGTTGAAAATCACACTATGGATTAAATAAAGTGTGTGCAGGAAGCAGGGTAGAAACATCAAAATTGACGATAAAAAACTTTAAATACATGTCTCAAGAAACTTTGATCAAGGAGACCCATCTCTGAAATGGACAAGAATAAAAAAAACATATTTAGATGACATTAATAATAGGTTTTTACAGGGCAAGTTTGCCTTAAGAAACATATCGACGCACTTCATAAAATATTGGCCCGAGGGCTTATGCCGTCCAAGCATGCCGGTATCGTCTTAACCTTTTACTGCATGAGCATAATGCGAAAAATGGCTGTTTTCATTGTTTTCATTGTATTATAGTTAAGCCTTTTGTTACAAGTTCAAACTGCTATGAAACTATAAAAATGCTTCAATACTGATCAAACTGGGCACAAATGTTAGCTGGACCATAGCCTGTGGAATAGGATGCTCAATTTAAAATTTCCAGTTACCATGGCAACAAGGTGGGGGGGGGGGCGTCTCAAAATTGCCAAAAAAAATTTGCGTTGTTTTTTCCCATCAAAACTGATTTCAAGGTGCACAAACTTCTCAATTGATTGAGATAAATTAAACGGTACCTTTAAATCGACCTGAGGCCTTTTAGCCCCCCACAAGTCCAAGTCTTCTCGGCGATTGGGGGCTACTGCACCACTTCAAACCCCAAAACAGAAGGGGGAACACCCCCCCCCCCCCTGTGTAACCCCCTTGATGTACTTTTTAATGGGGTGGCGCCGAAAAAGTGATCACTCTTCTGAACAACATTTCTCAAACGAAACTTGTTTGGGGCCTAAATAGCGCATGTTTTGCACTATTTGAGGCCTCAAAAGGGGTGGGGGTAAAAAGCCTTCAAAACAAGCCTTTAAGAGGTAAAAAGTTATAAGGAACATAACCTTTTTAGCTCACCTGTCACAAAGTGACAGGGTGAGCTTTTGTGATCGCTTTTCGTCCGGCGTCCGTCCGTCCGTCGTCCGTCCGTCCGTAAACTTTTGCTTTAAATGACATCTCCTCATAAACCACTGAGCCAATTTCATCCAAACTTCACAGGAATGTTCCTTTGGTGGTCACCTTTAAAAATTGTTCAAAGAATTTAATTCCATGCAGAACTCTGGTTGCCATGGCAACCAAAAGAAAAAACTTTAAATATCTTCTTTTAAAAAACCATAAGAGCTAGAGCTAAGATATTTAGCATGAAACATGTTCTAATGGGTGTCTACCAAGTTTGTTCAAATAAAAGCCCTGGGGTCAAAATTGGCTCCGCCCCTGGGGGTCATTGATTTTCCCTATATGCATATAGTAAAAACTTAAAAAATCTTCTTTTAAAGAACCGTAAGAGCTAGAGCTTAGATATTTGGCATGAAACATCTTCTAGTGAATTTCTACCAAGTTTGTTCAAATAAAAGCCCTGGGGTCAAAATTGGCCCCGTCCCGGGGGTCATTGATTTTCCCTATATGCGTATAGTAAAAACTTAAAAAATCTTCTTTTAAAGAACCATAAGAGCTAGAGCTTAGATATTTGGCATGAAACATCTTCTAGTGAATGTCTACCAAGTTTGTTCAAATAAAAGCCCTGGGGTCAAAATTGACCCCGCCCCAGGGGGTCATAGATTTTCCCTGTATGCATATAGTAAAAACTTAAAAAATCTTCTTTTAAAGAACCCAAAGAGCTAGAGCTAAGATATTTAGCATGAAACATCTTCTAATGAGTGTCTACCAAGTTTGTTCAAATAAAAGCCCTGGGGTCAAAATTGCCCCGCCCCGGGGGTCATTGATTTTCCCTATATGCATATAGTAAAAACTCAAAAAATCTTCTTTTAAAGAACTCAAAGAGCTAGAGCTAAGATATTTAGCATGAAACATGTTCTAATGGGTGTCTACCAAGTATGTTCAAATAAAAGCCCTGGGGTCAAAACTGGCCCCGGGGTCAAAACTGGCCCCGCCCGGGGGGTGGGGTTCATTGATTTTCCTTATATGTGTATAGCAAAAACTTAAAAATCTTCTTTGGAAAAACCCAAATAGCTAGAGTTTAGATATTAAGCATGAAACATCTTTAAGTAAATATCTATAAAGTTTGTTAAAATAAACGCCCGGGGGTCAAAACTGGCCCTGCCCCAGGGGTGTCATTGTTTTTAACTTTATGTGTATAGTAAAAACTTTAAAAATCTTCTTTTAAAAAAGCCAATGAGCTAGAACTTAGATGTTTAGCATGAAACATCTTCTTGGGTGTCTACCAAGTCTGTTCAAATAAACAAATAAAAGCCCTTGGGTAAAAATTGGCCCGGGGGTGTGGGGCCTATATACAGGTGAGCGACCTCAGGGCCATCATGGCCCTCTTGTTTATTGCATCTGCTGGCCCCTTTATCATAATCTTATCAAAATCTATTATTGGGTTTTTGAGCTGTACCCGCTCGGCAGTCATACGGTAACTCACTGCTAATGGCGTAACAAAATTTCACGTACAGAGGGTCTGCCGTTGCTAGAGTGCAGGTACAAAATGCCCTAAGTTACCTTTATATGAATTTTTGGCATAGTAGGAAGTCGGTTGATATAAGATATTGGCACACTTGCTCAATTCCGTCTAATATTGACAATCTTGAGGCAGTATTAATGCACTTTGGATGCATTTTTTTACTATTTAAAGTAAGATATGCAATAATTATTAACAAAGTCTGGAAAGGTTGATCCTTCGATAGCAACGAGAATATTTTAAACACAGAAAATTGCTGAGTTCGTTCGGCTGAGATTTTTCACGAGCAGGAATGATAATCTGGATTATTCGCAGATGTTTCCAGTAAAGTACCTCCGAATTCTGCATATTCTGCACATATAATGTAAATAAGTATACACAGTAAGAAATATTTAAAATTAAATGTGGTAAATACTTTGTGTTTACTACTTGCATTTACTTGTCATTGATAACCAATACTCGTTACACTAAAAAGCAATACTCGTGACACCGGCGGGCAACTTTAACGCAATACTCGGTACACTAACATGTGTATTTATTCTAAAAATGCACAGTCATCTGAGGTTCTATTGTTGATTGAACATTTACAACATAAACATTATCATTATTATCACATTTTACTCGATTCAAGTTTTTCTTTTAAGGAGGTATATGCACAAAAACATCAAATTCGACTGATCCGAGCTCATTTATCACGTGAGCAAAGAGACGAATTTTACTTCCTAATTACATTTCAAAGCTATTTCTCAACATTTTTGGGGTTTCAGTAACTAGAAAAATTATCGAAGTATTTGTTTTTCTACAAAATTTATATCAAACCAATTCAAAATGACTAAATATCGTCACTAAACATACCTTCTTTCTTCGTTCAAAGTCGCGAAATGGGATGAAAGTCCTCATAATATCGAGCAATATCCGGGGTACGGTATACCGCAGTGGTTGTAGCAGATGTCCCATTCGTGTTTAAATATTAAAATATTTTTGACAGAGTGTTTACAGGGGCGTATCACGTTGGGGGGCAGGATCTGACCCCCAAGCGTCTGTGAGCAAATGCACGATGAAATCATCGGTAACCGGTTCAAAACCGTTTACATGTGTACTATAATTATAGGGTACATGTATACAGTATGGACAAAAAGCGAACGTTTCATAGTTTATATTATAAAATGTCCCAATATAAATGTTTTAGCTTTTATAACGCCTAATAAGTAGAGGAGTTACCAAGACCTTATTAAGCTTTTAAATAAATAAAAAAAAAAATGAAGTATCAATTGTTGTATTCATTATCTTCATCATTATCATCACCATCAACATCATCATTATCATCAGTATATTAATAAAAAAGATTGATTAATTAATAATAATAATAATAGAAAAAAATGTAATTATTCATGATTCTTTATTTTTAATTTAAAATAAGTAATATAGATCGGTGATTTAATTTTAGACTTATCGTCTATTTTTCAGTAAATCTTAAAGGAAAGGTGTTCAAAATATACGCAAAGGAAAACGATCAATTTTGGCATTTTGACGGAGGTCATCAGGTTCTGAAAGTTGTATCGTCCTTATGGCAACCGAATGATGAATTTGTAAAGTTTACTTTTGAGAAACAGACGGACGGATCATACAAAATAAAGGTGATTCTTTTTAAACACATGAGTTTTTATTTTTATTTATTTATTTTTTTTTTTTTAAACTGTAACCAACCTTGTGTGTAGTTTATAAGTCATTTGGAGTAATCTTTTTATCATATAGTTTTGAAAGCTGTGTATAAAGATTTTTTTCTTCATTTTCATGAAGTAAATACTTGGTATTTAACAGTGTTCACTCCGCCGGTTTTATCAACAACTCGATCAAGCACAATCAAACGATCGCTTCTCGGCAGTGTTATTTGATTAGTTGCAGCGTCGATTAAAAAAATATATATTTTAAACTTACAGTATAGAGCTTTAATTTGCTCGACTTTTAAAGAAAACAACACGGATCATAACTCGATCGTCTTGAATGTAAGTCAAAACGGCTCCGGTTGTGTTTGTTTTTAGAGTAATAGATTAGTAGTGAATGGCCGTGAATATTTTATGTAAGATCGTATGGTAGCACTCCACACTAAATTTCAAGTTTCTGCCGTCAGTGTCCTACAAGCAATATGTCTGATAAATCTGATCCCAAACTACACAACCTGGAAAAAGAAAACACATTTTGTTAAGAACATATATGTCATAACATTGCAAATTTATAATGAAATCACCCCATGTGCAACAGTCAGGCAGTTAAAAAATTCCAATTCATTCCGTAAAAGCCAAAAATCTACAGTGGTCCGAGACCCAAAACAACATATTTCGTCCCGCCGGCAAAAAATACCTGCAAATATACGGGTCACTGCTTTAGCAACTTCCTATACTTGCAAAATATCACAAAGAAATAGGTGCTTGGCCTTGTAGATTTTTTGCTATTGCTGAAAGTTTGTACCCCCCTGTAAAATTACTTGTTTTCACCGAGCATGCTGTTCAAAAGCAGTGTTTACAAACAATGGCGGCCTTGACATCTATATTTAACAGCATGTGATTTCTTACCATGTTTTCGAATTTGCCAATGATCATATTACATGTCACAAAAACAAATTTCAGGCTGAAAATGCATTTTAAAGACAACCAGTCATTTAAATCCACAATAGTCACTATATCCATGAAATCCTCCCTGGCCATTCGAAGCTGTGGCTAGTTAAGTGTGGTGTGCTGCCTATAGCATCGTGTCATGGGACAGACAGAATTGGTAGGCACGTTGGGGTCTCGGAGGCGCGTGCATAGATCATATTAAATGCTAATAGTCGTGTTGCGGTTCTTAAAATGCAGGTTATACTTTTCAATTCATCAAACATGGTCAGAAATTATGACTGTACGATTCTGGTGATTGGCGGAGTGAACACAGTGTTTTAAATATATGTATTTTGTTCCTTGTACACCTTCAATGTAATATTTATTTAAGTCGCGATCGGTTTCCTTTCCACGATACATGTACGATGGGTATGGTGTTCCTGGTGCACGTGGTGTATATCTTAATGGTGATGACCGAACAGACGACGATCATATGCGATACTATATAACCATGGAAACACAAGGCTTCTACAGAATTAAAACAAAAGCAACGAATCGGTACGTTAGGCTGGACAAGGACAAATACGTATCATCCAGATATAATTTAAGAGACGACAGGTCGTTGTTTAAGCTCGTAGTGGTGTAAAAAGTGCCAAATATGTATAAATTTATCATTAATTGCTGTTTGCAATCAATTTTTCATAACACATAGAATCATTTTATTCTTTTAAAGCAGACAATTCTTTTAAAAACGATGGAAAGAATACCGCCATGATGAATATGATAACTTGTCAATGAAATGCATAAATCTGTTACAAAATATTTTTTGTATGTAGATCTATAAGTAATAAAATAAAATGACAAAATTGCTTTTGTTCACTTACAAAAAAATAAATAAATAAAAATAAATATGCTATGAACATTGGATCCGTTGATACTCGGATAAACCGAAATGGTGATATATTTTTAACTTTTTATCTATTGCCAAGCAAGAGGTAAATGGTCAGTTTTCTCAACAAACGAAGTTCATTATTATCATTATTTTACAATAAAATATTGTTACATTTCAAACACTCATTTGACTGATTTATTGTTCAAAAGTTTCATCAAGCGCCCTGTCCCCTGATAGATGTCTAGGCCACATAGGACCCATGTATATGAAAGATTTTGTGTAAGGTGTCGTAAAATACAAGTCGAATATCATTTTATCTTACAAATGTATATATAAGGAAAATATATTGAAGGACATCTGTAAAAGGATCTGTAAAAACTAAACAATCGATGACACTCATCAACGAAAATCCCGCCCAAATCTATTTTATTCCGAAGCTACACGAAGAAATGCAAAACGCACGTTCTTCTTCTCTAATGCCTCCATAACAAATATCTTATCCGGAATACTTTACTCTTGTCGTTTAAAAAATTGTCACTCTACGATAAAATTAAAATTAGAGTATTCCGGGAAAAGTTTTCTGTGTAGTGACGAAGTAAGTACCCGTTTAATTATTTTTTCGGAATCTACGGAATAGAAGAGATTTGGGCGGGTGAGTGTTTCGTTGGTGAGAGTCATCGATTGTTTAGTTTTTTCAGATGCAATGATATTTCTTACACAACATTGTCTCCTTTTAGCGATTCAGTCGATTCAGCCGTAGAAAGTGAATAAAATATTGTCAAATATCATGTTACCGGCTGTCTTTGGTGTTCGCATAAAACAAAATACTAAACACTGCTTAATATGGAAGATGCAATAGCACATATCTACACTCTATTAATCGAGACTAAGTTTTTTAAAATTATATAGAGATTTCAAAGATTTGGCTGAGTTATGACATTGAATGTGACTTGGATAGAATCAAAGCACTGGAAGGGCGTACGAGTTGCTACACCCTTGTATAACTAATACTATGGAGGTATAATGAAAATTGTGTAAAAGTGTCATATTATTTTAGTTATGAAATGTTAATGTGGAAATTGACTTAAAATCATATTTAAGGGGTTGTAACAGGGACTGGAGGGAGTGGGGAGGGGGTAACGCTAGGGGATAATATCAAATCAAAGGGTCTTGTCCCTGTGGTTATTAGTCTATCATAGCCCTTTTAGTTTAAACAATATTTTATTGATAATCCACACATTTACATAATAAATTACATAAAATAAAATCATAGCCCTTTTAAAGTGTTTTTACATGTATTTCTTTTATACCTTTGTTATATTTTGTTAATGTATGTACAAAAGTGAGACTTAAATAAACAAATTGTCTTGTCCTAACTTGTCGTGTTTAGTGTCTGTTTTGATGTTAAACGAGTTAGATCTTATATATTCGATTAAATGCAGCTATTTAAACATCATTTGTTACTATTGAAAGTGAATTCTGTCCGATTAAAATAAGTGCACGAAAATTTCGCGAGACATCATTTTGGCGACACCTTACAAAAGACTTATAGACCTTAGTATTTTCCCACGCATGCGCAATCTGCGTAGGGCAAAAAGCGCATAGAATAATATAGAAATATAGAAGAAGTTCATAGACAATTCCGAGTTACTTTAAGGTAAAAGGTAGAAAATTATATAAATTAGTTTTTAACAAAAATAAAAAAGATTCCTTTATAGCTTTGTGGACAAGATTGCGATTAAAAGGCATGGAAAAGGCAATTGTTTAAAAGTTTCCCCTTACGGTCACGGACCTGACATTGAGATTTTTTTGAAGAAAATGTAGAATATATCTATTATTCAAATGGGAGTCAACTAAATTGTTGTTGAAATAGTTTTTAAAAAGATAAAAAAAATTTTATAACATATGCAATCGAGGTTAGTTATCATTGTGAAAAAAGTCAGAACAGACACGGTGATAATGCATTTTTAGTGTTCAGTTTACCTGATTTATCTTTTATTTGACTGTGATGTAAAGCAAATAATTTTTAAGTCACATAAATGTATTTTAGATAGTTAATTGTTTTTCAAAATCTTTAAGGAAAGTGAAATAACACACATCTTATCCTGTTCCTCGTAACACCTGCTATTTTTTTAATGCAAGCCACACTAATTGTAACTTCTCAGAATCAATAAACATTGATGAGATCGGTATATACAAAAGTTACTGAAATTACGATTTTCATAATTGTACGTGATTAACTATGTCATGGTACTGAAACGTTCCGGTTTAACGTCGCGTGTCAATTTGTTTGACACTTACGTACAGCCTGGCCAATCCAAAAGGAAGTGTAAAATGTAAATACACATTGTGTAATATTATGTAATACAGCGGTAATAAAATTTAATCTTTAACACGCTGCTGTTTAAATCTTAAAAACAGATGAAAAGTCATCTAGCTAATGATACCTTAAACGACTTTGTGTGCGTCTTTTGACCATGGACCTTTCCCGTATTTACAGTTTTATGTAAATTGGCTAACTTGTTAACCAATTGCTACACTGAGTTAATACATAATCACTGGTTGACATGATTTGCACAAAAGAACACGTCGTTATGTTTGTGATACTGTATGTGAGCAGTTGACCTAGCAATGAAAAGAAAAGGTGTGACTAAATGTTTCGCTACAAAAATTCGGAAAGGTCCATTGGATTATAAGTCCCAAATATTCATAATATCTGTTATAAACACCAATTAACGTTTTAAGTACTTACCGCTTTAAGTCATCCTAAAATAACTGCTTTCTGGTTGACATAACATGGAGTCACGACTATTAAAGCCTTAAAGTATCATACACTGTTCTCAATTTTACTGCGCTTTTGCCCTACGCAGAATGCGCATGTGCGAAATTCAACATCGGTTACTGTGGAAGAATCGTTTTGTAAAAAGGTCTATATGTCATGTGAATATTTAATGTTTTATATTTTCACAAAGAAATATCAACAACCCAACATGATCTATACAAAATCTGCGATTTAAATAGTGAACATTTTTTTTATAAAATATACTCACTTTGACGTGTGTTTACTGTCTCAAATCCATAATTTCTCCGTATTTTACCATTTCACCTTGCTTTAAAAAGTATCGTATCTCTATACGTTCGACATCCTGATAGTCATCAAACTAATCTGAAATATTTACCACATTTCTGATTGATTCTCTTGGAGTTTACAATTAAGTAAAATAAAAACACGGTCATTTACATGTAGCATAATACGTAACCGAGATTCTTCATTAGTTTATGACAAATAGTTTGCATTATTACTGTGCAAATGGAATGATTACGAAAGCCTAATAGTGTCAAATAAAATAAGAAAATAAAAATGCAAAGGCGTTATAACGCGAATAAAGGCGTTATTACGCGAATCAAAAGGCGTAATAACGCGAATAAAGGCGTTATAACGCGAATCAAAAGGCGTAATAACGCCTTTATTCGCGTTATAACGCGAATCAAAAGGCGTAATAACGCGAATAAAGGCGTTATAACGCGAATCAAAAGGCATAGTAACGCCTTAATTCGCGTAATAACGCGAATCAAAAGGCGTAATAACACGAATAAATGCGTAATAACGCGAATCAAAAGGCGTAATAACGCGAATAAAGGCGTAATAACGCAAATTAAAACGCATTATAATGCCAATTTAATACCATATTTATACTAATCAAATTGCCTAGTAATGCGAGAAAGGAAGACCAATAATGATCTAAATTTATTGCTCAAGATATAAACTCGTACAGAATAATACAATATACATTTACAAGAACTATCATTCCATTTGCACAGTAATCAAGGGGGAGAATCACGCCGTTCGTTACCCAAACAAACAAGATGGCGGATGCAGCCAAAAATAGGTTTTTCCCTTTTTTCTCTGAAATTCGTGATATTCTAATGTAATGGTACTTATAACAACCTTCTCCACAATTTTCCTGGCACACAGGATTTTATTTCATGATGTTTCGTCCCGTACTTCATCTGAAATGCGCGTCACAAGAATCGAAGCGAGAATTTTCCACCGGGTTGATCGTGATAACGTACGGCTTTTTCTCTCAAATTTACTGTTTCTTTTTCAAATATGTATATTAACTGAAACCACTGACTTTAAAAAGTTGTAATATGTTGTCAAGTAAGCAATCATGCCCATTCTGGCTAGATTTCCTGCTGTAAATATTAAATATCGGGCATTTTCCGGAAAGGATAACGTATGGCGCACAAAATATCAATGATAACGTACGGCGCATTTTTACTACTTGGTGGAATTTTTCCATTTGTCCAATCAGCTGATAATGAATTATTTTTATGTAGGAAATGATAGATATCTGAAAAAAATGTTGGTCAGGTCAGAAATAATTAATTGAACAATGCTGTACCATCGGATATAAATATCTTTCTAGCTGGTGGCATACTAGATATCCATTGTAAATATACCAATTAAAACACACGTGTATAGTTTGAGAATATTTTGTATAAAATGCAGAATGGAAAGAAAAGCCTCCACTTTCAGAAAACATTTGTGTAGTTTTGTCTTCACATTAAATATCGCCAGTGTTGTGCGATAATTATGGTCTTATCTCCTTATCAGAAAGAAGAAACACATTCAGCAGAGCAAAAATGTTAAAAAGGTACGGACGGCTTGGTATATTTTCTTTTCCAAAGAAAAAGTCTAAAATCATTCCTAACAAATCTCTGATATCTTAAACATTTACAAAACGAATTGCTTACACTCAGATGAGATGAGCCTGTGTTTATTCAATCTGGTCGCTCATTGAAAGAAAAATACATAACCGAGAATAATGAATGAATGTAGGTTGTATATTGAATTTATTGAATGAGTTAGAAAATAATGTTATGCGAGAAACTTCAATGAATTTAGTAAATAAGAAATTTTCTGTTTATTTGACGGGCGGTTAATATTGAAACGCTACCATTTAGCGTGAC